CGAGAGATCGGCCTTTTCCACACTTGAGTAGGATGCACCTGTAACCAAGCCTGCAAGGTAGCACTAAGCAAATCTCAAATAGTCCTGAATCTCAGACCAGACTCTTGGGGCTGGTATCTTAGCACGGCCTGCTAATTCTCTGCCTTTGGGTGTGGCAATCTACTTGAACACCAGATCAAGTCCAGTTACTCCACTTTCAATCCAGCTCCCTGCTAAAGTGCCTTTGAAAGAAACAGAGGATGGATCAAGTGCTTGGGCTTCTGCACCAACAGGGGAGAATCAAAAGAAGTTCTTAATTCCCAACTTTGGATCAGCTCAGCTCAGGCCATCATGGTCATTTGTGGAGGAAACCAACACATGGAGGGTCTAGCCTTCTGTCTAATTCTGCCTTTCAAATAAAACTGAATTAAAATCTTTTTTAAAAAGTGGGCTCTCAACACTCTTGGACAACTCTAGACCATAAATGTATCAGGTAACTTCAATTTCCTGATGCCTGAGATAATTGCTTCACATATCAGCCTACCTCCTCAGCTTCCTAATATCCCAGCTGACGACTTTGCTTCATAATTCATTATTCCATAACTTTATAAACAAAGGTCAGATAATTAATAAATCTGAAAGACAAAACTTTTATTAGAAAGTAGGATTTACATAGAAAGAGAAACTAGTTCACTTGGTAAGTGGCCACAAAGGCAGGAGCCAGGAGTTTCTTCAAGATCTCTCACACATGTATAGGGTATAAAGCTTTGGGGGCCATCCTCTACTGTTTTCCCAGGCCACAAACAGGGAGCTGGAAGGGTAATGGAGCAGTCAAGACACAATCCAGTGTATGCAAGCAGAGAATTTAGCCACTGGGCCAGGCCTAGTCTTGTCTTTAAAATCAAACATAAAATTTTTCCCTTGATCCAGCATTGCAAAACAGATTAAGCAACTACCTAAAACACCAGCCGAACGCCTAGTCTCCAACATCTTATTGAGAGGTAGCAAGCCCTTTAAGAGTTGGGTCCAACAGGAGGCATTTAAGTGAAGGGGTCATCACTCTTGGAAGAGATTAATTCCTATCTCTCAGGAATGGGTCAGGCTTTAAGGTATTGGTTATTATAAAGTGAGGCACTGCACCTTTTTTTAGCCTTTTCCACTTTCATTCTTTGCGAATTCTGCATACACTCTGATATGATACCAAAGACAAAATGTATGGGTCCACTGAATCTTGTATTTTCTTTTTTTTTTTTTTTTTTTTTTTTATAAGATTTTATTTTGACATTTTTTACATAGTTAATTAGGGTAAGAAGGTTCAAGGGCTACATGAAAGTGGATAATACTAGTATGTTTTCCATATTGTTACCTTCATGTTTAAAGGGGGTTATTTAAGGGAGAAGGCCCACCCAATTTCCCACCCTCCCCAGGTCCCGGATGTAGGGCATGCTCTGAGGTTCTTGCTCAAGTGGTTTTGATATTGCAACAGTCATGAATCGCTGTCAATCTTGCCACTCCAAGCACTATGAGATCTTTGAAAAATCAACTGATTGACATAGTCCATCATAGCTGAGATGGTTGCTTGACCTGTTCTGTCTTCTCTCTTTTCTTCGTTAGGGTTCTGAGTCCAGCATTTAGATTAGGAAGATCTCCAAAGAAACTTCTTGTATGTGCTAACAAGTACAGGGCCTGGCACCGTCCATCGCTCCAATCAGCTGGTGGTTGCAGTTGCTGGGTTGGTTCCGTTTTCACTCCCGACTTCCACTGGAACCAATGGGTGTTGCAGTCCAGCCTGGTTCTGCCCAGCACATACTTGGCCCTCACATAAACCAGCGGGAGCTGCAGCCTAGGTTGGAGCGACCCACAATAACCCCCACCAGACCCACTCCCTACCCTGGTTTGCCAGTAAGTGTAGCAGTAATCCAGTCTGTCCCACACCCCATTCCACCCCAGCCGCTATCTTAGTTATCTTAGTTTTATGTCCTGTGAAAGTGGTAACCCAAGAGGGATGAGCCCACTATTTCCCTCCCAGGCCTCTCCCACTCCCAGATTCCAGTTGATGCTGCGTCTAAGCCCAAACAACCCTTGCCCACTTTAATTTTGCTTGCACCAGTAGGAATAATCCGCCGAGTCCGGCTTTTCCCTGATCTGGTCCACATGAGGCGCACAGGTGTGGTAGCTCTGCCCAGTCTGGTCTGCCCCCATCCCAGCCCATGCTCTCCTGCGGAAGTAGCTGTCCTGCAAAGGAACCCTCCCTTATTCCCCTGCCGGCTCTGCCCACTTCCTTTCTTGTTCTCAGGCTGGTAGGGCGCTGCGGTCGCTTCCGGTACAGGCAACCTCACCTCGGCATTCCATAATGTGCACTAGTCTTTGTTGCGACCAACCCTAGGTCGGCCCACACTGGTGCCTGGATTTGCCAGTGGATAATGTGGACAGATTCAGCCTGGTCTTGCCCCCACATCAGCCAATTGTATGCCAGTGGGTAGCTTTCCATGGCCTTTTCTGGGCTGTTTCCTATCTTGTTTCTTGCGTTTACCTGCCGGGTCTGTGTCCTGCCAGAGGAGTTGCCCAGGCTCCTCCATCAGAACCTCTCCCAATGCCAGGTTTCACGCTTACCAGTGGGTCCATGAGCCAACCCTACTCAGTCCACCTCCTGTAATAACAGGAACTGTGGCTTTTCCTGTCTGGCCTTCCACCCAATCTGGTTCTTGCTGTTGGATGTTCCAGCCCAGCCATGGTTTGTCTATACCCACATATGGCTCACACATGGCTCAGTAGGGGTTTGAGACCCTGCCTGGTCCATCCCACATCTGCCCTGGTCCTCCAGAACACCAGGGGGAGTCGGGGTCCGGCCCGGTTCGGTGCATCCAATCCCAGTCCACACTTGTGCCAAGGGAGACTACAACTGTTTCCAGATCAGAACGCAGCTCCCCTTCCAGGCCATGTGCCTCTTGGTGGGAACCTCAGCCCAGCTAGGGTTGTCCCCTTTGCTCCCCAACCGGGTCTGTTCCCAGCCATAGATCACTTGCCTGCCAATGGATGCTCTGACTCAGCTTGGCACAGCTCCTCACCTGTCCCGACCTCTGCCTTAGACACTGTGGCTTAGCGTCCCTGGCTCCCACAGACCAGCAGGTACAAGAACCTAGTTCGGCAAGACCTCTGCTCCCTCCTGGTTTCTAGTTTTACTTGTGGGCTAAGGTTTGTTCAGTCGTGCCTAAACTACTCTGTTCCATTACCAGTTGACACATTGGCCAACTGTTGGAGCTACTTTTGCAGGACAGGCCCCAAGCCCTAGCTTCTGCATGACTGGTATTTGGTACTCAGAATTATTAGTGATTACAAGTTTTGCTAAGGAAGAGTTACTGCCTGTTTCAGGTCCAAGAAGCACAATGGGTTCAAACTGGAGGGAATTAAGCAGCAACTCAAAGAACCAAATCCCCAGAGCTCCCTGGCCGGGCGGCCAGCAGGCAGAGCCTGGCACCAAATGGCGCACTGGCCGCCCGAGGACAGCTCAGCACATGGCGGCTGTCCGGGATCCAGGCATGAGACGCCCCGTCCTGAGACCCACCAGCTGCCAGGAGGCAGCTGGAGGTTTAAATAACCCAGGCCCAAGGTCGCCCCCCTCCCAAATCCCATTCACCGCCCCATGAGGGCGGCGGGTGGGTGTCGGGCCTGCCCAGCCCCGGAGGCCTCCCCCTCGGTCTACTCACCCCGAAGGAAGCGGCCCCCGGAACCAGCAGGCCCGAGGACAGCTCAGCACATGGCGGCTGTCCGGGATCCAGGCATGAGACGCCCCGTCCTGAGACCCACCAGCTGCCAGGAGGCAGCTGGAGGTTTAAATAACCTGAATCTTGTATTTTCAACCTCCAGATATGCAAGCTCAATAAAATTCTTGCCTACATAGAGCACCCAATTTCTGATAAAGTATGCAGAATTCCAAACCAGACTATGACAGCATATCAGCTGCTTTAGTACCTACTACCACCGACACAGTAACTATTCTTGTCCCCATTTTAGTCAAGAGGAAACTGAAATGTGGAAAGTAAACAACTTCCCTACATACACACATACCATGTACTGTACTCAGGATTTGAGGTTAGACCATCCGTCTCTAGACTATCCCTCCTGACTGGCTTATCTCCTTCATTTGAAGCAGTGTAAAAGTCTTTGTTTCTTTTGTCCATCTGTTTTTCTTTTTTACTCCATGAATTTCCATCCCCTTGGTTGTCACTCTTGCTCAAGGCATCACTCTGCTTATGTATTAACTTCCTAGCATGTTTCCTCCTACTCCATCTAATCTTCTTGACACTGTTAAGTGAGCTTTTTAAAGAATGCGACATCACAGCCCCGCTAAAATCTTTTTATGGGATTTAACATACTTGTCCTTGGTGTTCAGAATCCCTCATGAGCCAAGCCTGCTTTCTTCCACCTTCTGTCCCATATTAGGTTCTGAGAGTTCCTATTCTTAGATCTGGCCAAACATTTGACCCACTACCTCCTAGCCTTTGTTCTTCCCATTCCCTGAACAAAAGCTATCTTCTCTCAGCTACCCTCAATCCACAGGTCTTATTTCTCATGTGATCTGTTCCCTGCCATCCTGACCTTGAAAAGAAATGCCAATATATTAGAACCATGCAGCAATTCTTGACGTACCTAGATTCTGACTTTTGCCTCTTTAATCTATTAAAAGACATAATAGCATCTACTGAACATGACTGCTGTAATGGGTTACAACAATGTATGGCACATACCAAGTTCTGTTTCAGCATTTCCTAATTGTTTAGACTTAAACCTTTGGTCATCTCTACATTCCAATGCTTGTAAGATCAGGTTTATCAAAGACTATTTTTCTCTTCATTGTTTCTTTTAACCAAGTGGCAGCATTGGAAAACGTATTATCTTAATATTTTCACCTAGTAGTCACCAATCAATGTACTTTCATTATCCAGTTAACATGCATTTTACTTTATTCATACTATACAACTATTAGTCAACCTACAAAAAAATACAAAAGTCCGATTAACTTTCCAATGCCAGGTCAGAGCCAAGTTTCACAAAAAGGGAGACAGCACAGTAACTTACAAACAGCTTTTGCACACTATACAAGCCATATTGCCTGTCACACGATGTATTTAAAGCTGTAAATATTGCCACAGGAGAATTTCTTGTCTTTGCAGCGCCCACACAGTTCCTGCCGATGAGGCCTTGTTAGATCAGCGTGTCTTTTCTTTTGAGGACAGGAACAACGAGACTTTGAACAGGTCTTTAGAAACAAGGAACAATTTCAATACTAAATGATTAAATTTATGTTTTAAATATCAACCTCAAATCAAAACACTTCTCTCCACTATCCCATTCGTCTTCATTTTTCCTGAGTCCTAAGAGATGTCTATGAGCAAATTGTACAAAACAACACATATAATGCCACATGTTATCAACACCAGCATCCCACATATGCCATGGTTTGTGTCTCTGCTACTCAACTTCCTATCCAGCTCCATGCTAATTCACCTGGGAAGGCAATGGAAGATGGCCCAAATGCTTAGGCCCCTAACACCAACCTGAGAGAGCTACACGGAATCACTGACTCTTGGCTTCAGCCTGGCTCAGCCCTGACTGATGCAGCCATTTGGGGAGTGGACCAGCACAGAGAAATCTCTTCAAATATGCCTTCCAAATAACAAACCTTAAGAAAAATTTGGGCCTGGCACAGTAGCCTAGTGGCTTAAGTCCTCACCTTGCATGTGCCAGGATCCTATATGGGCTGCTCCACTTCCCTTCCACATCCTTGTTTGTGGCCTAAGAAAGCAGTTGAGGACAGCCCAAAACTTTGGGACCCTACACCTGCATGAGAGACCTGGAGAAAGCTCCTGGCTTCTGGCTTTGGATCAGCCTAGTGCCCACCTTTGCAGCCACTTGGGGAGTGGACCTGCAGGTGGAAGATCTTTTGCTGTCTCTCCTTCTCTTATAACTCTGATTTTCCAATAAAAAAACAAATATTTTAAAAATAAAAACTTTAAAAACTTTTCATTTCTGACTGTGGTGTATGAGAATTTTAACCACGACTCCTGAATAACAGAAATCCCATCGTACAAATGGGCACTCAAGAACTATCAAGTGTTATGGTAAGAAATGCAAAAATCTAACATTTGGGACTGTTTTCCTTCTAAAGCTACCAACTAATTGTGAGATTAGTAAAAGACTGAAAGGTGGGTAATAAATTGATGCAGCCGGCAGATATATTAAAGTATTCCTGGTACACAACTCGGGTTTTGTGTTGGGACTAAGATGAACCCAGAATAAAGATGAACCAAACATAGACCTTTCTGCATAGTGCTGAGGCCCCATTTACAAACTTGATAGGTGAACTAGCAAGTTAAGGTAATTGTTTGCCTATCTGCCTGTCTAAAGTAAACATAAACCCTCTATGGAAGACTATCCTCGACCACGGTTATCACTCCAGTTTTTCATACAGGATATTTAACCCTCAATTAAAAAAACAAAAACAAATAAACAGGTGTATGAGAAGAAAGAGCAACACACTTGAAAGCTAAGTAGACTGCAATTCATTCATCAGGGTTAAGCTATAGGAATTATCTGACAAATTTCAAAATCACTAGGCTCAATCTGTTCAAGGAGACTAGGTTACTATTTCTAGAAAAGAACTAGAATTTTAAACATTTATTTGTTTGAACAACAGAGTTTCAGGAAGACAGAGATCTTTTCTCTACTGGTTCATTTCTCAAATGGCCACAACAGTTGGGGCTGGACCAGGCTGAACTAGGAACCTGGAACTATCTGGGTCTCACAGGTGAATAGCAGAGGCCCAAGTACCTAGCCATCTTTTGCTGCTTTCCCAGGTACATTAGCAGGGAGCTAAATTGGAAAAGGAGGCAGCCATGTAAGATGCCAGCACATACCTGCATGCTACAACACTGGCCCCTGCATTTTTTTAAATGTTCTTGAACAAAAAAATACAATAACTCAAGTGACTAATTTTAAGTACAGATTCAAAGGAGCTGAAATTAAAATTAGGTCAGAGTAGATGGGGGCCAGCATCGCATCTTAATGGGCTACACTGCCACTTTCAATGTTGACATCACATATGGTCATTACTCTACTTCATGATCCAGCTACCTAATAATGTGCCTGGGAAATCAACAGGAAATGCTTGAAGTCCTGGCTTCAGCCTAGCCCAGGCCCAGCCGCTGTAGTTATCTGGGGAGTGAACCAGCAAATGCACCTCTCCTTTCCCAATGTCAGTCTCATTTGGAAAGTGAACTAGTTAGATAGAAGATGTATTCTTCTTTCCTTCTCTTTCCCTCTCACTGCCCTTCTCCCCACCAATTCTCTCTCCGCAACTCTTTCAAATAAAAGTAGATCTCAAACAAAAAAAAAAGAAAAAGAAAAAAAAAGCCTATGATTCCTAAACAGAGTAAATGATAAATACAAAGGAGCCGTAAGTAGGTACATCATTGCAAACCTCCGACAAGCAAAGCGGAGCTCAGTTTGTTACAAAGCAAGCAGATTTAAGAAGGGATTGGGGAAGAGATTACTTCAAAGGAGCTGAAAAGAGAACAGCAGCCAGTTCACAGAAACAAAGTCAGATTCTTAGAGGACAGAACTTCACTCAGCCTAAAAATTCTATACTCCGCAAAAAAATCTCTTCCAACGATACCCCCCAAAATATAATGCGTCGCCTCCATACCTGTACTACAGGAAGTATTAAGGTGTGTTCAAGGAAAGGCAACATGATCCCAGATGCAAAAGGATACCAAAAAAAAATTCTCAAGAAGACCAAAGAACAAAAAAGATAAACGCATAGCTAGTGCTATATGCTTACTTTGTAGTTTTTATAAATATAAATTCAAAATATGGATAAAATTAAAGTGCTCAAGAACAGCATGGAAGTTAGAATAAAGTGATATAGAATTATACTGTTCTAAAATAATTATGCTCTCAGGGAGAAGACTAACAATTTATTCAGATTGATAAATCAATGAGTCAAGTCATTTCTATGGTAACCATCAGCAAAAAAAAACCAGAAGAGAAAATGGAGGGATTTTTTGTTAAATCAACTAAAGTGAGCACAAGAGAAAGCAAACAAGATTGTATAAATATCTTTGTGTATTTATACCCAATTTTTAAAATGCATCTGAATGTGAAGTGATGAGCGATGTTGGGAAGGTAGAAGAGATGCGGAGGGGAACTGGTCAACAGATACCATTACAGGTAGAAGGAGTTAGGTTCTAGTGTTCCACAGCACCACGAGTGATTGCAGTCCACAATAACCTACTGTGTATTTTACATACAAAAATAGAGGAGTATGAATTCTCCAACTATAAACTGATGATCAAGAGAGGAAATCACCTTGAGTTGATCATGATACATGGCATGAATTTACTGAAATACCACACTGTACCTTTTAATACTTAATTGTGCAAATTAATCAAAAATAAAAGTTTAATCTTGGTTGAGACATGTTAGTTAGCCTGATTTAAATGACATTAAGTGCATGAATCAAAGTATACTCCATAATAAGCACAGTTAAATAAAACAAATTTAAATTATTTTAATCATAAGCAGACTAAGAATGTCAGACTAGTGAAATGTGAAGAATTTATAGCATGCATCTCTAATTACAGAAAAGTATTTTAAATTGAGGCACAGATTTAAGTTTCAAGGAATGAAATCAACTACATGACACTTTTTTGAAAAGGCTTCCTTTAAGCTATTTTAGATTCCCTCCCCACATCCAAACTCGAGACAACTTCACAGAAAAATTAGTAACTAGTTCTCAGACTTTCTAAATACTGGTGACACCATAGATTGTAACCTTAGCTCCTTCATGCTAATTTATCATATGTCTTAGCTTGTTTATAGGAGATAATGCATGCACAACACTTAGGCCAAAGTCTGACACATGCTACAAGTTTAATATTTACCCATTATATCACATTCTAATTATACAGTGTCTCTGGGATAAACACACATATACACTATGCAGAAACAAACCATGTAAGGTAACCAAATCATAAAGTTCTGTCCCTTGCATACAAAAAAAAAAGCAAACTAGAATTTATGCTTTTTCCCATTACAAAATTTCAAATACAGAAAATGTAATATTCCCAGATTAATCTCCACATCTATCAAATCCCAACATATTGCCACAGACACTTCACATTTCAAAATGATAGTATTATAAACACGATGCAAGAGTTCTGCATGCTTACCTGACATTGGATTGCTTCTACTCGATAAGGGTTAAAACTCTTCTGACATTTGCAACAAAGTTGTTTGAAATAAACCTGAAAAAAAATGTTTTTTACTTTTCTAATACAAACTCATTGTAGACTCTTTAAGTCCCAATTTTTTAAAAAACGTATCATACTTAAGTATTTGTTTGAGAGGCAGAAAGAGCATGCCCTTTTCCTTATTCATTTCCCAAAAGCCCACAACATCCAGGACTGGACCAGCAGAATTTAACTGGAAGAAAGGGTTCTGGAAACACAATCCAGGTACCCCTTGTGGATGACCAAAACCCAATGACCTGAGCCAACCCTATGACTTCCCATGAAGAGCTGCATTAATAGGAGGCTAGAGTCCAGAGCTGGAGCCCAAGTCGAACCCAGGCACTATGATTTGATGTATGGGCATCCTGTCTTAACTGGTAGGCCAAATGCCACCCTTCATTTCTTAAGTAATCCATGTTTTCATTTTTAAAAAATATTGATTTTTATTTGAAAGATTCTTAGGAAAAGAGACCAAGAGGGCTTCCAGCCACTGGTTCATTCCCCAAATGGCCACAACAGCCAGAGCTGAGCAGTTCTGAAACTGGGATCTAGGACCTTCTTCCCAAACACCCAAGTGGGTACAGGATTCCAAGGCCTTGGGCCATCCTCTACTGCTTTCCCAAGCCATAATTAGGGAGGGATCAGAAGAGGAGCAGCCAGGACACAGACCGTTGCCCATTTAAGATGCAGGTGCTGGGCCCGGCATGATGGCCTAGAGGCTAAATCCTCTCCTTGCATGCACCGGGATCCCACATGGGCACCAGTTCATGTCCATGGGCTCCATTTCCCATTCAGCTCCATGCTTGTGGCCTGGGAAAGCAGTCAAGGACAGCCCAAAGCCTTGGAACCCTGCACCCATGTGGGAGACCTGGAAGAGGCTCCTGGTTTGGGATAGACTCAGCTCCAGCCATTGTAGCCTCTTGGCAAGTGAACCAGGGCATGGAAGATCTTCCTCTTCGTCTCTCCTCTTCTCTGTACATCTACCTTTCCAATAAAAATAAATTATAAAAAAAGGATGCCAGTGCTTATAAACAAAGGATTAGCCTGCTACATCTACCAACCCAGGCCCCATTTCTTCATTTTATATCTTTCTTGTCAACCCTGTGTGTGAAGGTCTTAAACTAATACTACTATCAGTCACTTCTTAGTCTTTTGATTTCATTTTCCTTACTTGTAAAATTAGAATACTACCACTTCAGTTTCCCATGTTATGTCAAGTAGCCAATTATGTACATATGATTAGGCAAGGCATGTCCTTTTTTTGTCCTGGTCCATTGTCTGAGTTTTTCAGTATTTTTTCATTCAAAAAATTTTTCCTCTGTTCTCTAAAACCCTGCATTGATATCACAGTGCCAACACTTATATGCAGTTCACCAACCTTTATGCCATAGATCCCAGTGCATAAATAACCAAATCATATCTTGTCTATATCAATCCTATCACTCTTGTAAAGACATCTATGTATTGTACTATTATATTTCCTTGCAACACTTAGCAAAAGGAAAAAAGGGTTTAATTTAACAGAAGGGAAGTTACTTCAACTTGGTTTAAAAATCTTCTACCTCCTGGGTCTACTAAACGGCTAATCTGAAAAGCCCAGTTTTCATTCAAAGGTTAGCATCTCTCTTTGCCCTCTCTTCCACAGTTCTTTAGCTCGAAGGCAATATTTAAACATGGTACAGCACAGAGGATTCAAGCTCAAATCCTTTTAGAGTTAATGAGACAGGTGTGCTGTAGGCTGTTGCAAAGAGCATGAGCAAAGCAAATGGAGGCAGAAGCTTCCTAACAGGCACCTGCTGTCCACATTCTTGAAGGAAGGTCTACAAAGAATGCAGCCTATGGCTGTTCATGAAAATCCAGAAGTGCAGAGTTAAATGTGAAGCTTTCCCAGTCTTGATATTTCTCCTAATTTAAATTAATATTTGGGATATTAACAACAACCGGAAGGCTCAGTATCTTACAGACTAACCTTTATGTTAAATGATTTCTGATTGCCCCACCTGGTGGACAAACAGGTGAAAATTCTTAGGGGTTAGACTTAAACCTGTTCAAAATACATCCAACAACAACAACAAAAAAAAATGGTTCCAAAACAATATCATGAAAAATAAATAAACGCTGCCAGAAAAGCCCAATTGAGATGAAAACAAAAGCTCATCTACATAATCTGACATTCCAATGGACAGAATTACCAAACTAAACACACTTCCAGAGTGCAGCTCAGGAACACACAGGGCCAGTGCAAGTCAGCTCCGCTCCAACACTCTGAGCACTGTGTTGTAGCTCGAAGCGAATCCTTCCTCCAGGGAACACCTGAGTCCACCCCACACCCCTCTCAGTGTCCCCGCAACCCCCGCCGCCATGACCCACCTTATTAGTCCCAGCAATGCACCACACGTAAGCACTCTCCCATCTGGTCTTACAATCTTTACAGTGGAAATAGCCGTATTTTGGTTCCAAAAACTGAAAATAAACAGCAAGAAGCGTTTTTACTATCTTAGGGAAAAGGAAAATTTAAAAAAAAATTAAGTCTTAAGGATTTGTATCAGGAAAAAAGTGCTACCTATATTTCACCTATCCTCAATGCTGCCATGTTCATTTAGTTTCTCATCTCAAATATTAAAAATCCGTCTTGCTGTTGTAACTCAGTTTCCCAACCTATTTTCCACAATGCCAGAACATTCTCTTCAAAACCAAACCCTATTTCCTGTTTCACTAACTGAAGCCCTTCTCTCATCCCTAATAGTAGTGTTTGCCAAACTTTTTCACTGACTTAGTTAAGTGAGACGGTCATCCTATTTTACCAAAACTTTACAGAATTCATAGGTCATTATTGCAACAAAACACTCTCCACCAAGCCTAACAAGGAAGCAAGAGAAAATTCACTCTAACTGTCCCAGAAACAGGAGAGTGAGCAGACCAAATTGGTTGAAGAGTAGAAAGAAAGGTTACCTGGAAGTTTGGCTTCTGGAGCAGATCTGGCGGCGGCTTGTTCTTCCCTTCTTGAGGTGATGTGGCCTCTGAAACCCCCAGCTCCTCTGGCTGTCTCACTTTCTTCTGCTGCTCTTCTGACTTCAACTTGGGTGATCGCTGCTGACCAGTCTTCACAGGACTGCACAATGCCTCGCCTTCTCCATTGCTGCCACCCACCTGCAGCCGGATTAAACCTTTCCTACTGGTCATGGGCAAACAGGCTTCCCAGCCTTCCGGGGGCAGCCTGTGCCCAGTGCTGGCCCTAGGGGAGCAGCTGTGCAGAGTGCGAGGCCCCAGCGAGCACTGCACGGACTTGTCTACTCGTGGATTTGCCTGCACGCCCACCTCCCTGGTGTTGGGCTTGCACAGCTGTAACTTCAAACTGGGGTTCATCTGCGCGAGAATAGCCTTCAGCTGGGTTCGCTTGTAAGGGTCCATGCAGTAGTCAGAGGCGTTTGCTGGTACCAGCAGCCCAGGTCTGGACAGGAAAGTGGGGGGACCCACGTTTTGCTTCCAGTCAGGTTGCTTGTGCCCCAAGAGTCCAGGCTGGTCCAAAGGTGGTAGTACGTTCCCATAACCCTGGTACAAGCCATAGCTAACGTGAACAAACTGCTCCATCCGTCTGCCAGGTGCTCAGCAGAGGCCAGTATCCTCGGGCAGCGCGTCTGCGCCTGCGTTTTACCCTCCTGCTTCGCCGCCACCCTTGCTTCCTCGTGCGCAGGCTAGCTCGTATTTATCCCTAGCTTCCTCATTTATTTCAGATGTGAATGGTAGTTGCTGCCTATTACCCTAATGAAGTAGGGAGGCCCTAACCCTCCACAGAGGGCTAACTGCTACCTAATTCCTAATTGCTTCTGCCTGTATCTTTACTTCACCATTCCTACTGGCTTTTTCAAAGCTGTTTTTCATTTCTGACTTATTTACACACATTTTTCACTGATAATTCATTTTTTCCAGTAATAACCACTTTACACATTCCTTGTACACCGTTGGTGGCAATATAAATTGATAGACACTGTAGAGATTCCTGAAAAAATAAAAAATGCAGTATCATATGATCCTACAATAATTCCACCATCATGAACTCAACATACTGAAGAGATAGTTGCATTCTCATGTTTCATTATGCCATTATCCATAATAAATAACCTACAAGAACGACCCAATTGTGACATAGAGGTTGATGCTGTGGTGTAGTATGTAAGGACAATGCCTGTGGTGCTGCCATCCCATATGGGCACCAGTTCAGGTCCTGCCTGCTCCACTTCTGTCCAACTCCCTGCTTGTGGCCCGGAAGGCAGTGGAGGACATCCCAAAGCCTTGGGAACCTGCACCCGAGTGGGGATAAGGAGGAAGCTGCTGGATCCTGGCTAGGACTCACCCAGCTTTAGCCATGGTGGCTATTTGAGGACTGAACCAACACAGATGATACCTCTCCACCTCCTCCTTTCAATGGAGTATTTTTCTGCCCTTTTTTTTTTAATGAAAGGAAATCTTGCCATTTGTAACAACATGGATGAAACTGGAGGACATTACCTTAACTAAACCAATCAGGAAAAAAGAAAATATTGCTTGATCTCAGTTAAATTGGGGCTCCAAATACACAGAAGCACAAGCAGTGGTTACAGGGATTTGCTAAGAAGTTTCAAGTGCTCCTCCCACACTCACACACACAGTAACTCTGATGACATGGACATGTCGGTTACTTAAGCATAGCAACCATTCACTAGGCAGATGCACAGGAAAACACTGTTAGCCACATTAAACATACTGTAAAATTTCATGAAAAAGTAAAAAAAAAAAAGGAAATCAAATACAACTAATAAATTACTTGAAGAGTGACATTAGAAGACTATATTCTCCCCCCTACACACACACACACACACACACACACACACACACACACACACACAATGGCTTCATTGGCTAATCCTCCAACTGCAAGGTGCCAACAACCGATAGGGGCACCCATCCAGCACATCTGTCTCTCCTTTCCTCTGTAAATCTGCCTTTCCAATGAAAATAAATAAATAAATCTTTCTGGGGGGCGTAAAACAAGAGTTCGGGGAAGAAAGCACATTATAGCACAGTTAATTAGATCCCTAGTGTTAAGAAAATAAAGAACAAAGTCATGGGGTGAGCAGTGTGTATAAAATGAAAAAAAAAAGAATTTCAGAAGGTTGTGGGAGATGCCAGCATTTCTCACCAGTCGGCTCCTGGGAAGACAGCCCAACCTCCCTACTCAAAAAGGAGGGGGCAAAAACATATTATTCTGACTTAGCGAGTAAATGTAAACGTAACAGTAGGATAGCTCTGTTTATACTGAAACGGACTTCAACCTTGGATCTTGTTACCAGGTAAGCTAAGCCCTGATTCAGTTTCCCCACTGGACATCACCAACCAATTTCTAAGATTTTGGTGAAACTGTGACATTCCTTGTAAGTTCCAAAGCACAAGTTTATCAGATGTTCTAAAGCAGGTCGTGATCGTCCGCTAGAGACCACAGACCTGCATTATTAGACTAATTAGACATCGTGGATCCAAAGCTTCAGTGGGGACAGCACACAGCACAGGGGTGACTATGCTGCTGGGGACAAGAGCTTCATTGCAAGACTGCCTCACTCGGAGTCCTGGCTTCGCTTTCCATGCACGCACACTGCAGGAAGCAGCAGTAACAACGGCCCAAGGACCTGGGTCCTTGCCCTCAAGCGGGAGGAGACCCGGTCTGGGTTTCTAGCTCCCAGGATCAGCATCATTCCCTAGGCTGTTGGGAGTAACCCAGCTGATTGTCTTTATCAAATAAATTAAGTGTGGCTTTGCTTCTCTGGGACGCTCTTGCTACACCTGATGATAATTTCCAAACAAAGCAGCACCAACCGACCCGAGCACAGCCTCTCATCCTGGCTTGACGCAGAAGAACCCGCAAGCGTCTCTCCCCTCTGCACTGCAGTGTGTTCCAGGCCACACAAGGGAACACCAATGACGACACCTCATGCTAGGCACGTCACACACCCTGCGAAGTCAATATGAGATCAAGTTCCACCTTTCAGCTCGTTTGGGGGGAGCAAGACGGGCTCAAAACGGGCAACTGGTCTCTTAAGAATGTAAAAAGATACTACAGAAGTCCAAAAAGGACATTCCCTCCCCCCTTACTGTGCAGGGGCGTGAACATGCGTTTCACAGTGTTTTAAGGGGAAAACGGGGTTCCAAGTTTCTGAGCACTTTCTACCCAGAGGCAACGTATCTACTAGAACTGACTTCAATGATCTGCCCTTGGCGTGACTACCAAGCAGTCCTGACAGGCCTGGGAAAGAGCCGCCCTACGGACAGCAGGCTTCTCCAAGGTCACCAAAGCGCGATAGAGAGCTGGAAGACAGGCAGGGGAACGACGAGTGACGCCTCCAGAAGTCAGGAAGCGAACACCGACCCTGGCACCTTCTTCATCCAGTCCCGTCCTGTCACATTGACACACAGCGGCCACTTCCGGGTGGCGCGGACGCTCCGTGCTGCGTCACGGCGTCCGCGCGTCACGTGGCCTGCGCGGGGTTTTGGCGCGAGCGTCTGAACTGAGGCGGAGGAGGCGGAGCTCGTAAGGCTCCGTGTTTCTGGGCTCTCGCCGTCCGAAAAGCCGGCGGGATCAGATTTGTGATCTAAATGCTGGCGCGGTTTCTCTCAGTCCAGAAGAGTTGTACGCCCGGAGCGGGTCAGTGTCGCTGGGGTGGAGCGGGCTGGTCCCGGGTGGCGGGCTGCTGGTGTCCCCAGCTCCCGGGGGGCAGTCGCAGCCTCGGGGGGACATCACCTCCTTCCTGCAAGGATCTGGTTCCAAAACAACCTCGAGCCCGGAAAAGCATGGCAGAGGCTTGCCTCCCGGCTGCCCCGCCTGTGCTGAATTTGGAAACACGGTAGCGGAGTGTTGCTACCCCGGGAAGCAATGATTAGGGGTTTTAGGGTCACACCGTATCAGTCTTTACTGGAGTCCCAGGGAATTTGCTAATTTCAGAAGATTTACTGACTGGGGAGTTAGCAGGTAGAGTTTGTTTCTACCGGGAGCCGAGCGTCATTACTTAACGTAATTAAAAAGCAAACGGTATTTAAGAAGCACTAGCCGCGTTTCCGAGGCTTGAAGTGGCCAAGGGCAACATGGCTGGAATGCTCTCCTGCCCAAACGGGGTTTTAGCGACTGCCCAGCAAGGTGGGACTGAGGCAGACAGTGTAGCCTGAGACCCACGCACCCCCGCGCTTGCGGCTTTTGCCTCAACCAGGACTGGTTTTCTCTTTTGCAGACTGATTTACCAAGCATAGGAGTAATACTATAGATAAAAATGCCGACTGGAACCAAAGAGAGACCAACTTTATTTGAAATTTTTAAGATGCGATGCAACGTAACAGGTACTGACAGATTTTTTTTATACAACCTGAGCCATCCCAACAATAAAATGTTTGCAGAGAAGCAACATGCGCGCTTATTGAAAAAGAGCTCAGTACTTCTCAGTTTTGTTTACCCTATACACTGTTGTGTATTGAGTCAGAAGTCCACTTCAGAAAATATTCATTTACCAGTGAACCCGGTAGGTAGAGAACCTGGAGTGAATAAAGAGGAGCCTGGCCCTTTGTTGAGCAGTGTGAAGAATTGTTTTGGAAGTGAAGCTAGAGTTGTATGCTAGAAGCACTGATAATGTTACTTTATGGCAGAGGCACGCTCACGGTCTGGTTACAATATTCATGAGGGAAGACTTGCAAAGAACAGTTGTTTATGTAAGCTGCATGTTAGAAGTGTAAGAGCTGAGAAAAATTTTGCTTGAAAATAAATGATTGCATATTACCATAAGCATTTTATGATAAGTATGTTTTTTCAAAACAAAAATGCCAAGTGGAATTATATTGCAATTTTCTTTCATGTCTGACTTAAGAGAAAATAGCTGTGTTGTCATACCCAGAGTGTAGTTAATCTGTTGCAGTATGGCCTTCTGGTAGAAATATACAAAGGAAATCTAATCTTACTGAGTGAAGAATTAGTTAACAAGGAGTATGATACATGCGTAATTTGTGCGTTTTTTTGTGGTTGCTGTCTTTCCTTTGCTTTGAATAGATGAGTAGATGTTTCAGTTGATCTACGCTGGGTTGTAACGTCATGTAGTGCTTTTTTGAAAGATATGATGTTCCAATTACAGGCATTCCCATTGCAATAAATTATATTTTTGAAAAATTTAATTCATTAATATCACCACTGAACTTATCAAATGGATTTTTTTTTCTCTTAAGATTTATTTATTTTTATTGGAAAGTCAGATTTACAGAGGAGGAGATAAGGAGATACAGAGAGAAAGATCCTCTGTTCATTGCTTCACTCCCCAGGTGGCTATAATGGCTGAACTGAGGCTGATCTGAAGCCAGGAGCTGCTTCTGGGTGTCCCATGCGAGTATGCCACTGCTTTCCCAGGCCACAGGCAGGGAGCTAGAAGGGAAGCAGAGCAACTGGTATGCGAACCAGCGCCCATAAGGATCCTGGTGCATGCAAAGAGAAGAATTCAGTAACTAGGCTAACACGCAGGGCTCCAAAGTGGAAATTCTAACGGTCATTAGATAGATCACATGTTAGCTTTGGCAGCAAGCTCTGTTGTTTTCCTTGAAGTAGCAGACTTACTTCACCAACTGAAAAAATGTCTGCTAAACTATGCAAGTCACAATTTAGTTTGTCAGTCATTCCTTCATGTGAAAAAGACTTCCTTAAAAAAGCTCTAGGACCAGATGCTGTGACCTAGCAGCTAAGGTCCTCATCTTGAGCATGCTGGGATCCCATATGGGCACCGATTCTCCTGGTGGCCCCTCTTCCCATCCAGCTCCCTGCTTGTGGCCTGGGAAAGCAGTTGAGGACGGCCCAAACCCTTGGCACCCTGCACCCCCATGGGAGACCTGGAAGAAACTCCTGGCTCTGAATCGGCTCAGCTCCTGGTGTTGCAGTCACTTCGGTAGTAACTCGTGAGATGGAACATCTTCCTCTCTGTATATCTGACTTTGAAATTAAAAAATAATAATAACAAATCTTAAAAAAAAAAGAAATTCTAATTCAGCTTATCATTTGAGTGTGTTTATATATAACTCTTCAACTTTGCCAAGATACTTTTAGATAGCCCCGTTTTGTCAGAAAGTACAAAAAAGATGTGCTCAAGGATCAAATACTAATTAATTTATTGCTTGAATTAAGATAAAGTGGTTAAGATTAGTTAACAAGATTATGATTATTTAACAAAAATGTGATGGTGAGAAGTACAGTAGCTGTAGCTTGGTGCCACTGCCTTCACTCATGCAAATGTACCAACACTTTTACCCACCATTATCTTGGTTCCGTTGATAATAATGTCAGCATTATGAAAAACACAAATGATGTTGTCTTATGAAAATCTTTTCTAAGTTTGGAACTTCCTGAAAGGGTCATGACAATGGTGTCTCTGTAAGATGGATGGATAATGGAAATTTTGCCTTTGCTCTTCAAGAGGAAACTTCTATTTCATTTTATTGGAGAATCTGTTTTATAACCAGTGATTGATACACTTATGTTATAGTCATATGACACACTGTATGTGTAGAGTGTGCTTTTATTATGAATTATCTTTGATTAAGAGTGTTGAATATTGAGAGGGAAAATAGTGGAATAAAAAGGTGATACAGCTAAGAACCATCTTATAGCTTCTGTGAGCCCTTTGTGTACCTTCCCGAGACCCACGATCTTGCTTAGCTGCTGTGCCGGAACCAGAGTAATCCACGGAGGAAAATCTCCAGCATTCTTTTTGTTATGAACTTTACACTGCTAGCTCATGAACTTTTATTTATTAACAAGCAGAATTTGGACAAGGGTTTTTTTCTTTTTAATAGATTTAGGACCAATAAGCCTTAACTGGTTTGAAGAACTGTCTTCAGAAGCTCCACCGTATAATTCTGAGCCGACAGAAGAACCTGGATGTAAAAGCAGCAATTATGAACCACATTTGTTTAAGACACCACAGCGGAAGCTCCCTTATCATCAGTTGGCGTCAACTCCGATCATATTCAAGGATCGAGGTCTGTCTCTGGCACTATACCAGTCTGCTTTACAAGAGCTCGGTGAATACAGATGAGCTTTAGATCAGTGATGTGCACTGGGAAACGCGGGAGGAAGACAGGAGTGAGGAATTCAGACAAGCCAATGTTCAAAATCTCAGCTCTGTCAGGAATTGTGTCGTGTTGAGCACGCTAACTTCTCTGGCCTTACTTTGTTCACTTGAATAATGGGAGCACTGAAAGTAATAACTGATAGGTTTATGTGAGATGAAATAATGTAGGTACTTACTGTTCTTTTTGTTTCTCCAGTTGATTAATATGTCCTGCCAACTGAGATTTACTGCATTTTATCTTTTCTTTATTTAAAACTGGGGATTTTTTATATTAATTAAGCTATTTCTAAAGCTGATCAAGTGAATGGATGTTACTTTTCTCAGTTTGTCATGAATGTCCTTTGATTTGGTAGCAGTTTCCCTGACCTACATGTGACGTGATTACCAGCAATTATAGAATGAAATTATACACTAACTTTATCGAATGTTTATTGCCTGTTTCTCTTAAGTAATGTACTTTATTTCTTTTTTGAAGTATTACTGTAAAAGGGGGAATAAATGGTATACAAATAAATTATAAGTGTGAATGTGAGGCTAGGCTATCACATGCACTGGTTTGCATGAGAACCAGGGATGGAGGCAGGCTGAGCAGGACTAGGGCAGCACCTAACAGCAAGAGTTGGGACTGAGGATGAGCTGGGCCAGGCCAGACTGCAGCACCTAATGACAAGGGCCAACACGGGGTAGGCCATGCTAGGCTGAGTTGGAGCAGCTGTTGGCATGCACAAGATCAGTGACTGAGAGTGGGTCTGGTAGGCGAGCTAAGAGGACTCTACTGGTGGACTGTGGTTCCCATTGGTGAGTCCAAGAGACAGGAACGAGGACAGACTGGGCTGAACATCCCGTGGCATGTGTGTGGACGGGGTCTGTGGGTGTGCTATACTGGGCTAGGCTTCAGCACCCACTGGCACTCAGAAGAGCCAAAGTGAGTGTGGGACGGGCTGAGCTAATTGCAGTACCCACTGAACCACATGAAAGCTGGGTCTTGGAGTGGACCAGACAAGGCTGGACCGTAGCACCCACCAGTAAGAGTTGGAACAGCTGTGGGCTAGTCTGGCAAGAGCACAGTACCCACCAATAAAGGTTAGGACTAGAGGTAGAACAAATCAGACTGAGCCAAACACCCACCCGTATGCACAAGATTTATAGTTGGGAGTTTTTCTGATTGGGGGAACTTAGGGAATTCCCCTGTTAAGATGTAGCCCTAGCTGTTGAGCGCAAGAACTGAAGCTGAGGGCATCCAGCCCAGGCTGGGTTATGTGTGAGTCAGTCCTGGGGGTGGGCTATGCTGGGCCAGTCTACCACACCTGGTGGCAGGTGTGAAAGTCGGGCTGTAGGCCAGGCTACACTGGGATGCAACAACTGCTGATTCACATTAGGACCGGGACTGGGGGCTGGCCAGGCTGAGCTAGGCTGTAGCATGCCCCTCCCCTAGCATGAGCTGGGACTGAGGGCAGGCCTGGCTGAGCACATGCCAGCAAATGCCAAGGCAAGATAGGCCATACGAGGCTAGGCCACAGCATCCACTGGCACACACAAGATCCCAGGCTGGAAGCAAACCTGGGAGAGGCTGCAGGAGCTCCCCTGCTGAGAGACCAGACTGGGCAGGACTGCAATAACTATAGCCTGCATGTTAGCTGGGTTTGTAGGAGGACTGGTCTAGGCCAAGCCACTGCATCTGCTGACACACACAAGGGCCAGGATACATGCCAGCTGGCCAGGCTTTGCCACAACATCCACTAGCATTGCTAGGACAGGGCCTATCAGACTAGACTACAATACGCTTTGCATAGTACAAGATCTAGGACAGAGTGTGGGCCTAGTAGGGAAATTGCAGGTACTCATCTGCTGGGCTGTAGCCCCTGCTGGTGTACTTAAGATCCAGTGCTGGGGATTTTGACAAGGTAGCAGTACTAGTGGGTCATGGGGTAGGATGGGTGGGGATATACAGAGCTAAATACACCCATAGATGTATACGAGAGCCTAATTGGGATGCTGCACTGACTGGACTAGTCTGCTGTGTGTACTGGCACATGCAGGAACCAGATCTGGGGATGGTTCTGTGGGAATTATTGAGGGAGACCCCAACTAGACTGCGGTTCTTGCTGGGGTGCATGAGGGCCAGGCCTGTGGCAACCATAGGTGTGCTCAGGCCATGGGACTAGGGATGGAACTGACCCAAAAAAATATAATCACCAATGTGTGAATAGGCTGATGCAGGTGACAGACTGAATCAGACCCTGTACTGACTGGCACATGAAAAAATCAGGTCTGGGGTCCCTGAAGGTCAGGTTTTTGGGCGGTACTTCCCAACTAGACTGCTGGACTCAAGATGCTGGCCACAGAGAGAATGATAGGATTTGTTATCCATTGGAATACATCTATCAGGACTGGGCTCCTCGATTGCTAATGTCCACTATGCATTGGACATCATGCTGAAGTGCGTGAGGGAGACATGATGGCAAGCTCATTTAGGCCTGCAGAGGACATCAGGTGCCATGTAAGAAGATGGAGAGCAGGACAGGTTGGACAACTATCCTGGCCAAGCTTTGGCAGCAGGTGTCTGGGTGAGTGGATGCATTAGGGTGGACAGCCAATGGACCTTAGAGGGATTTTTCTCAACCTGGGAGCAGTGAAACCAATGGTGTCTCGAAACTATCAGAAACACTCAAGCAATACTTTCAAAACATTCTTCTCCAAAATGAAGTGTCTAAGATGACATCATGTGGGCAACCCCTATCCCCAGGCACTGATACAGTTTGGCAATTGCAGGCAGCCCCCTCCGTTCCCTCTCTACACCTCACCTTCCCATACAGGAGAAAAGGAAAGTTAGAAGCATTTGTCCCTCTCACCTGCTCCAATACTTCAACCCTACACACCCTGATCATGAGTGGATATCCATCCTTGTCAACTATGTAAACAACATCAAAAATAAAATTCAATTTTAAAAAAAGATTGAATGTGCCAAGAGAAAAACAAAATCGTATGACAGTGTTTATTTTTATTTTTTACTTTAATTTTTATATCATTTACATAGTTGAGAGGGATGCATGCCCATGTGGGTCTCCAATTAGAGTTGGGGAGGGTTAAGTATGGAAGAAGGTGAGTGAGATAAATATTTCAGTTGTATTTTATCTACTGTGCTCGAGGGAGGGAGAAGGGAGGAGTCCACTGCTTGCTGTCCAACTGTATCCGCACCTAGGGATGGAAAATGGTCATTTGGTGACACCTGAGAGACCCCGATGTGGGCAAGAGTGTTCCAACGGTGTTGCTTCAGTGGTTTTGATAGCTCCGAGTCGTTGGCTTCGTTATATCAGGGTTGAGAAAATCGTTGCAAGGTCTGTTGGTAGGCCAAGTTCACCTTAGTGTGTCCCCAGGCCGAGGAAAATGCTGGAAGGCTTGGCCAGAAGAGTGGTCCAACCTGATCTTCCCGTCCTGGATGAGCTGGCTGTCATGTCCCACATGTGTATTTGGCAGCGTTTTTGGAACTGCACAGGAATCAGCATCTAAGGAGGCCCAGTTGCTAGTCTTGTGGGCATAGTTGTTAGTCTTGTGGGCATGTACTCAAAGGTCAGACCACGTATCTTGTGATTTTTTCCTGGGACCAGGGTTTGAGTCCAAGAATCTAGTGAGGAATGGCCCAAGAAATCTCACCTGGGGTGACCTCTGACTTGACTTTGTGTACGTCAGCCAGTACAGGCCTGGTCAGTTCTTCCCCAACCCCATCTCTCACATGAACCAACAGGTGCTGCAGACAGCCCAGCTCAGCTCACCAAAGCTCCGGTCTTCATGCATACCAGTGTGTTCCCTGGCCTAGTCAGTGTGACCCCCCCAATAATCCCTACCACACCTGTTCCAGCAGCTGCTACCAAGTGTGCTGGCATGTGATATGTATGGCCTAGCCATACCACCCACATCCCATCCAGCTCTCAAACACACTCATGGGTGGCAGCTTAGCTCAACCTGACCCTCCCCCAGACCCAGCCCACACGTATGCTGATGGATGCTGCTGCCCTGACCAGCCTGGTCCTTCCCCAGCCCTGGCTCTCGTGCTCACCAGTGGGAGCTGCAGCCCAGCAGCAGAGTGCCCACAGTTCCCCTACCAGGCCTGGTCCAGCCAGACATGACTTGCACCCCATCTGGGAATTGCCAGTAGGTACAGTAGTCTAGCCTGGGTGGCCCACTTGCATTCTGACCCTCATGTGAGCCAGCAGGTACAGCAGCCTAACCACCCTGCCCTTCTCCCTGACTGGCCTGCCCACCAGTCCCAATTCTCATGTTCCCCAGTGAAAACAGCAGCCCAGCAAAGGAGTCCCCAAAGTTCTCATACCAGTTCTGCTCCCAGCCCCGGGTCTTGTGTGTAATGGTGACTGCCGAGACCTATTCTTAGATGGCCCTCCCCCAGTCTCAGCGTTTACTAGCAGGTGGTACAACCTGGCTCAGCTCAGCCCAGCCTGTCCCCAGTCCCAGCTCTCATTAGTGGGTGCAGCAGTCTAATCCATTGTGGCCCATCCCCAGCCTTTAATGTGAACAGGTGGGTGTTGTGGTCCAGCCTGGCCTGGCCTGCACCCCACATTGGCTCTCATTGTGCTGGTGTTTTAGCCCAACCCAGCCTGCCCATAGACCTGGCTCACATAGGTCAATGAGAGCTACATCCCAGCCTGGCCTGGCTTGCCCCTGGCCTGGCCTGCTTGCAGCCTGGCCTGGCTTGACTCTCCTGCTCACCAGTGGGAGCTGTAGCCTAGCAGGGGAGTTCCTCAAGTTCCCCTACCAAGCCTGCTCCCAGCCCCAAATCTTGCTTATGGCAGAGGGTGCCATGGCTCAGCCTCACATGGCCACATGACCAACCTCCAGTCCTGGCACTCACAGGCAGATATTGACCTGCACCCATTCCAGTTCTCACAAGTGGGTGCTACAGCCTAACCTGGCCTGGATGACGTAGTATTATTTGAAGTTAGGCAGGGATTCGTTGCAATTGAAACATGAAAGATAGGTCAGAATCACAAAATTTGGAGATATGATAAAATAATTGTCCTTGGCAGAGAGAATAAGAACAACATTTAGGTCTAAGAATAACAAATCATTCAGATTGATTTAAGGTGTTCTGTATCTAAAAGGGAGCAATAGACAATCTAAGGCCAGAAAAGACAGGTAAGACGTGGGCTTGGAAAGCAAGACAAGAAATTAAAATATTATTTTATATGCAGATTTAATAGTACAACTTCCTTTGTCAAACCTGTGATTAATCCATTTCTCCTCATGATAAGTTCAAACTCAGAATGACTTTCATATTTAACTTCTTTAATGTGTCTATTTATTTATTTAGAAAGTTATAGAAGGTGATCTTCCATCTGTTGATTCATACTTCCTCGTAGGCAATAATAGCACCCCTGGGCCAGGCCAAAGCCAGGAGCTTCATCCAGGTCTTCCCTGTCCATCGTAGGGGCTCCAGTACTTAAGCAATGCTCTGTTGCTTGTCCTAGGCCACTAGCAAGAATGGAAGTGGAGCAGCCCAGACAGGAACCTGTACCTATAGCATCACAGGCTGTGGCATTACCCAGTACCCTGCTACACTGACCCTGAATTTAAGTTGCTGAAACCACCACCCTCTCATGCTCTTTATGAATTTTGTTATCTCTGTCCACAACTAATTGTCTGCCTTTTGTGAGATCTAGGCTTATCTCTGGTAAGGAATAGTCTTTGTCTGCCTTGCTGAATTCTATCAAAAGGAACATGCATAAGCAGTTATCATATGACACGTACCTTGAGACAGGAAATTTGTGGCACTAGGAAGCGCATATAAACAGAGAACATAGGTAATGGGCAGAATTTCTTATGGTAGCATGTTGTCGGGAACCAAGTGGTATACATAATATTTAGTTAATATCTGTAGAATGGATATTAATTTTGCTTTAGAAAATCAGTCTTTGAAGATAATTTTTTTTTCAAAATGTGATAGCTTAGGCAATCAGAATCTTTGATGCTGATTAAAATGATGAATCCCTCACCCTACTCTGAAGCTCTTGAAATGGAACCCTATAATCTGCACTTAAAATAATGACAGTGATACTTTTGACAATTGAAGATCAAAGATAGACGATCAGTAAGGAAGACATGGCAAAGTCTAGAATAATAGAGAACACGTGCGTGAATTTTTGTGATAACAATGGAAGTAGATATAGAAGGTGGAAACTAGAGGGCCCAACAATAACCTAAATATGGAGGATTCAAAAGAAAAACAGATAACAAGGTAGGACATCACCAAATAAGATCATAATGGTGGCCTTGAGCCCAGTGTTGTGATGCAGTAGATTAAGCCACTGTGTGCAATGACAGCATCCCATATGAGCACCTGTTACAGTCCCACCTCTTCTGCTTCCCACCCAGGTCACTTCTCATGTGCCTGGGGAACTTGGGCAAGTTGACATTTGGGCCCCTGCCATACACTTGGAGACCAGATTGAATTCCACCTCCTTGCTTTGGCCTGGCCCAGCCCCAACCATGGCAGCTATTCGGGGAGTGAACCTGCAGGTAGAAGATTGAGCTCTGTCTGTCACTCTTGCCTTTCAAATAAAATAAATGGGTTTTTGTTTTGTTTTAAAAGATTATTTCTTTTTATGGAAAAGTAGATTTACAGTGAAAAGGAGAGACAGAGAAAAAGACCTTCCATCTGCTGATTCACACCCCAAGTGGCCACAATGGCCAAAAATGAGCTGATATGAAGCCGGGAGTTTCTTCTAGATCTCCCAAGTGGGCGCAGGCTTTGGGCCATCCTTGACTGCTTTCCCAGGCCACAAGTAGAGAGCTGGAACAGAAGTGGAGCAGCCAGGACACAAATCGGCCCCCCTATGGGATCCTGCCACATGCAAGAGGAGGATTTTAGCTACTGGACTTCTGTGCTAGGCCCAAAATAAACGTTTTTTTAAAGAATATAGTCGTGATGAAACTGTTAAATATATCTTGACAATAGGTTGCCAGACTGTCTGCCATTGTCCATTCCTGTAATGTCAGATAATTGTAATTGTCTATTCCTTAGATAGCAGAATGATGGACTTAAAACTTTACGAAGGACTATACTATTGTTAAAATATGAAGGAAATCGTTGGATGGAGAGGAGGCAAGGGAAATCCCGGAACCTATGGAATTGTATCGTAAAATAAATAATAATAATAATAATAAAAAATATAATGGTGACATTCATAGAAATTTTAGGAAAAGCAAGTGAGACCACACATCCTGTGATTTTTCCCTATGGCCAGAGTGTGAGTTCAGCTGCCTCGCTAAGGAGTACCCCAAGAAACCTCAGCTGGTAAACTGACTTGACACTTGTGTGTGCCAGCAGCGCACATACCAGTTCTGCCCCAACCCCATCTCTCATGTAAACTGATGGGTGCTGCAGGCTGACCCAGACAGCCTGACATAGACCTGGTCCTCATGTATACCAGCAAGTATCTTGGCCTAGTCAGTGTGACCTGCCCAATCAGCCCCACCAGGTCTACTCCCAGCCTAGTTTTTTGTGTATTACAGCCTCTGCAGCAGCCAACCCAACCCCACCCACATCCCATGCAGCTCTCAGGCAAACCCAAGGATGCTGTGGCTTAGTTTAACCCAACCCACCACCAGGCCCACATATATGCCAGCAGGTTCTCATGCTCACTGGCAGGAGGTACAGCCTAGCAAGAGAGTGCCCAGATGTTGGCAACGCCTGCATCGCCACATACTTCCAGCCCCGAGTCAAGCGGAGGGACTAGGGTTATGAGACAGACAAGACACACAACACACCGAGGCTCATTCTTGTGAAGTGAAAGCCTTTATAGAACAAGTACTCTGCTTTTTAGATGAAAATTAAGTCTGTTTATGAAAAACATTTTCGCTTAACTCTTATCCTCCTGATATCATAGTACTGTGTGTAATTTAATAGACTAGTTCACATTCTATTTGTGTACATTTCAATAACAAAAATTCTCCCTGTTAGACTGAGTTCTTTGGGGTGAAAGTGGTATCTTGAATTGAGTCCTCCAAAGAATTTTAGGCACATTACATGCTCAACATAGTTGTTGAACTAGGGGACATGCTTTTAGAAAGAGCCAAAAACCCTCTGAGAACCTTTCAGAAAAACCTCTCTGAAAATCTGGAACACCTTTTCAAACTGAACTCCCTGTACCTTCTCCTCAATTTAGAAGGACCTTTGTTTCTGAGTACTTCCTGAGAATGAAAAACTTAGAATCCAGTGTATAAGTCCTTGCTGATTTATTGTACTATTTCAGGGAAGGATACTGCCAGTAATGAACATAAAAATTGCTGCAGAACGAAGGCTAAAATAGAACGAGTAAATGCCATTAACAGTCCACTTCTAAATCCTAGTGAAAGGTATGATGAAATTATTATATTAAAATGTTTAAATGAAACATGTTCCTACATAAACATATAGAAATGGAACAGGTTTTCATGCTGATATTTTGCTGACAACCTGATGAAGGATCTTTTATTACATTATCTCTGTAAAATAATCTTTTATGTTGAGTCCTTTAATAGAATAAGTTTTACACTGGAAACGTTTTCTTTATGTTAAACTGGCTAGTTTTCTGGGTAGTAACAAAAAGTATTAATGATGAAAAGCTTTAAGTGCTTAAAATGTCAGTCTCCAATAAATGACATGCTTTGAATCTTTAAAGAGAATGTGATGCTTTTGTAGGTTACATAATTTTTGAATTAAGATTGTGTAGTTTTTAGTAGCTGAAGTTTGAGTACTTTCAATGGGTATTTTAGTCATCTAGTGTTCTTTTAATTCTTTATGAGATACTCATTTTTGGGAAAGTAATATAAAATAATAACTACTATAGTGTAATTCAACAAGTAGTATGAGTCATTTTTAGAAAGATTTGTGTTTTTTCTCTGCCATTTATGTTACATTTTTTGAATAACCTGAGGTCTCTGTTCTATTTTAGTCCTGTTATACAATATACACATGAAACACCACAAAGAAAAAAGTCAGGTAGGATAAAAAACCGAGTTTTTCATTGTTAGACTACTAGAAATGTTACTGAAATAAAGCTTAATAATGTTTCCTGTTTTTACCCGTAGTGGTATGTGGGAGTTTATTCCATACGCCGAAACTCATGAAGGTAAATATTCTGCCTGTTTTACTTTTTTTTTCCCTTTTTAAAATGTTTGTTTATTCATTGATATTTATTTGCAAGGCAGGCACACATATATACGTGGCGCTAGAGATAAGACAGAGAAACGGTGATCTTCCATCTGCTGGTTCTCTTGTCACATGCCCAAAGCAGCTGTGACAGAGCCATGCCTGTTTTACTTTTACCGTGTAATCAAGAATTTAATATTAGTTTCATAGGATTAACAAATGTGACCCTAGTGTACTGTCTCGCATAGGCATTTAGTAAGTGATTAAAAAAGATTAAGTGAAAAAGTATTCAGTACTTTTCTATGAAATAAACTATTATGTTTCTTTCCAGGGTCAGACACAGAAACATATTTCTGAAAGCCTGGGAGCGGAAGTGGATTCTGATATGTCTTGGTCAAGTTCTTTAGCAACACCACCCACCCTTGGTTCCACTGTGATTATAGGTATTACTAGCAATTGTGTTATTGAGCATATATGATAAAGTAAAGAAGGTTGATAAATGTATCTGTTAAAGGGAAAGTATAAAAAGAAAATATTACTATAAAAGGGATGAGTAGTTCTGAATAACGTTATTTTATTTAGCTTTAGATTGAGATAAACCACAGATACATTAAATTGTATTCCATAGGAGTCCAGAAATTTGTTTTCGTGTTTGTCATTAATCTAGTATGGTTTTACAAATACTCATTTAACTATATACACAAGCATTTTGAAGTCATTATTTAGTGTAATTTGAATATCTTACGAATACTTATATTTTAGGCATTGAAAGTAGGATTAAATACATTTTTTGCCCTTCTGCTTAAATTGTACAGAATTAATTTTTCCAGTGGTACTGAAGTAGGGTCTTAAATTTCACAATTACAAATATATGTCCATTTGACTATCTAAATATTTTCTTTGTTTATTTGTTGGACTATATGATTCCTTGACAGGTAGTTTGTATCCAGCAAATCTTTAAGTAAATAAATATATTTTAAATGTTTCACCTGTTGTGAAATAACTTAAATCTCTCAATAGCTGCGAATTGGCTAATCACGCCTTAATACTTAAGAAGTTGTGATCATCGTTTTTTATGAAATTATTATAATAAACGTAAGTTTAGAGGGGCATCTGTAAGTAAATGAGCAAGTGTCTGGAAATTAAACAGTCACATCACAAGCTAGAGATGAGGAATGAAAATTGGAAGATAATGGAGAGAAAAAGTAAGCATTCACCAACAACAATGTCCTTTTTGTTTGGGTAAGATACGGGCTTCATCGCTGTTTTTCAGACTGTAGATCAAAATGCTTTAATAGTTGTGAAGTTTATTTTGGGAATTATATTTGCTTTTTTGAAAATGAAATAAACAAAAGTCAGTGTATCACGTGTTTAGGGTAATCAGATTCAGCAAGTAAAGCAATAGTGCATCTATAAATTGGAATTTCAAACAATGTACTAAAAGTATTCATTGTTTATCTGAAATTCAAATTTAATGAGGTTGCTACATACAATAAATAAAGTTTTGTATGTTCCTACTTACGCTGAAGTTTGTTTTTTGAAACTAAAGTTTGTTTTGAAACTAACGTGCATATTTGTATATATACAGAAAGTATAAAGTATGTATTTTAAATTGGACTTAAAGCTCGAGTTCAAATTTATACCCAAATTAGAATTTTTTAAAAGACTGTTTATTATAGCAAACTAATAGTGTATTTTGATTCTTCTTTGGTGTAAGTTAGCTTTGTGCTTATATGAAATAATCGAAAGCATTATGAAAATTAAGAAGTGACAAAATGCATTTTGAGACCATATTGTCTAAGGAAATGCTGCAGGTTAAAGAAAAGTGTGCAGGCTTTAGCTTGAGGTCATGACCTTGCAACTTACCTGATTTTCCAAGTTACTGTGTACGATATTGCCAATCAGGCAGAGTCATCAAACCACATAGTTTGTTACTTTATGGTAAATGATAAGGAAGTGAATATATAACTTACTCATAACATTGCTTTACCTTTCAGATTATTATAATTGGTTCAGCTCAGGTCTGTCACTTAATGAAATGGTTTATATGCATTTTGATTCTGGCTGCAAAATTTATAACTTTTTATATCAGTTTTAGTATATGATATGTAATACAGTATTGGTAAATTGAAGTTTTATCTTACAGTCAGAGATGAAGAAGCATCTGAAACTGCTGATAGTACTGCTGTAAGTAAATATGACACATTGATTACACTTGAAACAACTTGTAATTTTAGAATGTATCAAATTGCTCTTCTAGCATATTTATTCCCTAGTTTACAATTTATTTAAGCCTGTGAGAAAATATTTAAACTGTGTAGTGTAAGTGACTTTCATTCATTTCCTTTGGAAAACTGCCACCTCTTTAAAAATGAGTTGTATATGTTGGCAGGTATTTAGCGCAGCAGTTGAGTCCTGGTGTAAGACTTCATATAGCGCTCAGATGTGTGGGCTTATCCCCAGCTCCAGCATCCTGCTGATGCACACCCTTGGGCTCATCCCCAGCTCCAGCATCCTGCTGATGCTCGGCCTTGGAGGAGTGTAGCCCAAGTGCTTGTTACTTTTGCCACCACAAAGGAGGCTTGGATTGAGTTTCAGTTCCCAACTTTGGCCCAGCTGTTGTGAGCATTTGTGGAATGAGCCCGTGGATGGGAACTCTGTGTCTCTCTGCAACAATTATGGAAGAATTTTTTAAAAAGAATAAACTGGATATGTATGTGTATTGAAGTGTGTTTATACTAATGATTCTTAATTATACATTTCTTTTAGATTTCTAAAAACCATTCTAATGATGAAAAACTGAAGAAAAATGAGAGACTCATTTCTGTGACAGAAAATGAAAACACTCCAGCTAGAAGCCAAAGTAAGGCCATCTGTTGAACGACTGTTTTGAATTGATAATCAAATGTATTGCTTCTCTTGAAGAGAAAGCACCTTGCTTTAATTGACTGTTGAGTAATGCGTTTAGGTTACAAACTAACTTGATTTAAATGGCTTTATTTACACATAGTAGGCAGAACTAGTCAACGTGTGACATGTATCTCTAAACTTAGAGATAAAAGTAAGACATAATTAACAAGACATGAAGTCCTTTTTTTCCACCTGGAAATTAAATGTGGTTGTAAAGACTGCAAATTACCTAGTCTGATCACTGGAATATTGTAATTTTCTTAGTATATGTATGTCTGTACAAATACATAGGATTCAATACCTGTTCATGTATAATGAAGTCCATGAATACACACACACACATATACATATGTAAAATCATATTTTACACTTAGTTTTTGCATGGCTACAAAAGTGAATTTGTACATCTGATTGATATGTCTTGGCATGTTAAATTATTGTTTAGTTAGTAAATTAAGGATGGTTTAAATGTGTAAAGATGGTGAAGAAAAGATTACTAAGGATTAGAATTTGGATAAAAAGCTTTCTGTACACTGGGATCAGGCCTAACCAGAAAAACGTAAGCGTGACTAACTTAAAAACATTAGTGCTCAGAATAACCCTTTGAATGCTAACTTATATATTCTTTTTCTGAGAAGGTGAAATTGATAACAATTATTTGGTTGTGTTATCAGGTGATATTAATGGGCTTCTGTTTTAAATTTTAACAGGATTGAGGAAAACACTAGGAAATTCACTTGGTGAAGTAAATAGTTGCGAAGACCACTTTGACAAGTTGATGCCAAGTGTTCTAGATGATGAAGTGTGTGAAGCAGTCGCAGATATTTCGGAAGAAGACAGTTTTTCTTTTTGTTTCTCTAAGCATAAAATGGGAAGTGTACAAAAACTAAAAAGTGGAAAGACTAGGGAAGACATTTTTAGTGAAGAAGAAACTGACAAATATGATGAAGCTGAAAAACAAACAAAGGGAAATAAACATTCATTTCCATGTGAGATGGAAACAAAGAATTGTGATCCATTAGATTCAAATGTAGCCAATCAGAAGCCTTCAGAGAGTGGAAATGATGAAGTCACCAAGGCATTTGTACCATCTGAATGGTCTCAGCTGAGTCTCTCTAATCTTAAGGAACTCAAGATGGAGAAAATACCCATAGCGCAGGTTTCTTCTTGGGACCAGAGTGGTTTAGAAGAAGATCCCATGGGCACAGAGAAAGCATGTAACAGCCACATTACTCCTGAAGATTCTTTACCACCTACTTCTGATCTACCAAAATTAGAGATGACGTTAAAAGAGGAACCGGTTGTCCATAACGGCGATGAAGCACAGCATCTTGAATCTCCCAATTCTCTTCTGGAAGTAAAGCCTGCGATATCTCAGATATGTTCAGTAGTTTCTCCATTTCAGGGTATCAAAAAGTCTATATTCAAGATCACAGAGTCACCTGAGGAGACTTTTAATACTTTTTTTTCAAGTGACATGACTAATTCAGATTTTAAAGACAAAACAGGAATCTCTGATAGAGGAATGGAAATGCATACTTCTTACTCACAGAAAGAGAAGTCTTTGTGCCAGAGTTTGGTTGACAGTGGAAGCAGTCCAGCCACTGCCACTCTCTCTTCTGTTAATTCAAAGAATTCAAGTTTAATATCCACTTTGAAGAAGAAAACCAAAAAATTCATTTATGCCATAAAGAATGAATCTTACCAAGGAAAAAAAATACAGAAAGACCAAAATGTAGAACTAACAAGCTGTTCAGCGCAATTTGAAACAAATGCTTTAGATGCACCTCTTGCACTCGCTAATGCTGACCCAGGTACTCTTTTTCTTTGCAAATACTACAGATAGTTCTGTGAATGGTGATGGGTGTTCTTACTGGAATTCTTGAGCTTAATTTGTTTAGAACAAATGCCATCTCCTTCCATTCTGTTTATTTCATTCACATCTGTTGGATCAGTTTGCATCATAGACTCATAATTTGAGACTTTTTGTTTCATCATTAAGAATTTGTCTGTTTAATTTCTGCTTCGATTTTAACCATTACATACAAATTCAACAACTAAGTAAGTGATGTGATTCACTATGTATGTTCTAAAACATATAAAAGGTTTTAGGATAAAATAATTCATTGCTAGCTAAATTTAATGTGCACTGATCCTAGAATAAATGATTTCATTTGCTAACATAGTCTCAGTGAATAGTATGGCTTTGTTGGGTTGAAGTAAAAGGAGGTATTAGAGATTTCTGCTAAATTTCTTAAAGATAGATTTTTGATAGTGTATATAATAAAATAAAGCCATATGTTTTCTTTTTCTATACATAGTATACCTATAAAAACTTAAATTGAACAAATACCACTTGTGATGGCATTGAAGTATTATTGAAATATTCACAGAATTGAAATTTGGTACTAGAAAACTAACAACTAATGAGATAAAGTGAGATTGAGAACTTCGCCTTATTAATGGGAAATTCAAAATGCCAAATAACTATATAAAGTAGTTTAATTCTTTGACCTTTGTAACTGAAATTAAGTCAACTTTCTAGTTCTTCATATATTGGCCTTGTTTTTAAAAATTGCATTTTTTCTGATATAAAAAAGTAAAAGAATTGGTTCTTTTTTAATTTCTCTGAGTTGCTTCTCTGTATTCTGCTACAGCAGTGAATTTTTTTACTTTTATTTGACAATGAAGGTAACTTCAAATTTTATTTGTAATAGCTAACAACTTCCTTTAGCTAGATAGAGATTTTAGTTGAGTTGGTAAGTATTATAGAAAATATTTAGGTCCTATTTATCAATAAAATGTAATAACAACATACTTAGAATTATTTGTTTTGAACACAAAATTCATATCTTTGAATGTTTTAGCAACCACTTTAAATTACTGGCTAGCGTTTATTGAATGGTTGTTATTTCATTTGTGTCACTTTGTGTTTCTCTGCTTAGGTTTATTGCATTCTTCTGTCAAAAGAAACTGCTTACAGGATGACTGCAAAGGAAAAACTTTGTCTTTAACCAATTCCTTCGAGGCAACACTAAGGAAATACTCCAGTGATGAGTGTAATCCCGATAAAACAATAATATCGCAAGATCTTTATTATAAGGAAGCAAAGATTAATAAGGAAAAACTGCCATCATTTTTGACCCCTGAAATTAATGATCTATCATGCCTGCAGGAAGATGATTCCAAAAGCCAAAAAATTTCCAGTATAAATGCAAAGATGACTTCAGAATGTCACACTGCAATGCAGCAGTTACAGGTAGAATGTGATAATACTCGCTCACAATCCCAAGACAGTTTTTTGGATGACTGTGTTAATACCAGCACTTGGATTTTAACTCAGAGCAATAAGGATCATCCACCAAACCCAGTGGGAATTTCTGGAAAAGAAGAATCATACAAAATGTCAGAGAAACCAAAATACAAGAATTGTGAAACTGATACTGAATTAGCCAAAAATAACCCCATAGGGAAAAATCAAGAAATACAGGTTTTAAGCGAAAATTTTGTAAAAGCTGAACTGATGCCACCTGAAAAACAGGTAACAAAGGCGTCTCCTCCCATCAAACTTCAGCGCAACGAAATTACAAATCTAACAGTGATCCAGAACGACCAGGAAGAAACTACTTTAATTTCAGAAATTGCTGCCAATCCAAAGGCTGAAGAATCTTTCCTGGATAATGAGAATAGTTTTGTCTTTCAAGTAATTAATAAGAGAAATAATCCTGTTTCGGAAAGCAACAGGGAACGCCGTGAAGCCTCCCTCAGTCCTGTGAAAGACTCCCTTCTCCAGACCTCCAGTGTGGCAGAATGTGGAGGCGTAAGTGACAAACAGATAGCTCACGCATTAACTACAAAAGATTTTGACTCATCACTTACGGTCCATGATCTTGCAGAAGAGAACAAAAATCATGTAAAGCATCATCTAAAAGTGACTCTAGATCAAGAATTAAAATCAGATACCTCCTCCGATGTATATATGAAATCAAATGGAAATAATGATGACATGGACAAATGGGCAGGGCTTTTTGATCCAATTTCAAGCCACAGTCTTGGAAGTAGCTTCAGAACAGCTTCTAATAAAGAAATAAAGCTCTCAGAACATAAAATTAAGAAAAGCAAAATGCTCTTCAAAGATATTGAAGAACAATATCCTATGAGCTTGGCCTGTGTTGAAATTATGAATGCAATGCCATCAGATAATCAGAAGAAACTGACTAATCCTGATCTGTTTGATTCCCAGCCTGTTACTGCTGTCTCTGCGTGTGTGCAGAGTAGTGTGTTTGATTCTGTTTGTGAGAACAACCACAGAACCCCTCAGGTGGCCTCTCTAAGGGACGATATTAATAATTTGACACCTAGCCAGAAGGCAGAAATTACAGAACTTTCTACTATATTGGAAGAATCAGGAAGTCAGTTTGAATTTACACAGTTCAGAAAACCTAGCCGTATAATGGAGGGCAACACAGTAGAAGTTCCCGGAAACCAAATGACTGTCTTAAATACCACAAGTGATGCACGTCAAGACGCCCATCTTTGTTGTACAGTTAATGCCTCGGCCAGCAGTCTTATTGATGGCAACAGGAAAGTTGAAAAAGCAGTTGCAATTAAACAAAATTTTTGTATCTCGTTAAAAAGCAACTGCAAGAAATACACTAATGAGTTAGCAGATAAAAATGAAGTGGAATTTCGAGGCTTTCGTTCTGCTCTTGGCAAAAGACTGAATGTTTCCAATGAAGCCCTGCAAAAAGCAATGAAACTGTTCAGTGACATTGAGAATGTTAGTCAGGAAACTTCAGAGGTGGATCCAGGGTGCTTCCCTTCAAGTAAATGTCTTAGCTCTGTTTCAGTGACTAAAGCAAAAAAGTATAACAATGATCAAAATGCAAATGAGAAAGACAAAGACCAGGTAATATTACAAAACGATACAGAAGTGACCTCTGACAGTTTTGCCAAAGAAAATACTCAACATCGTAGGAGCAGCACAGAAAGGGAGAACAGTACATGCAGTAATGCCAGTGGGAATGCTTGTATATTAGGAGAATTTGATGGCAACGATTCAAGGAAAAATGATAGAGTTTATATCCATACCACTGAAAACGACTTGCCGTGCCTTAACCAGCACACCCAGTTCGTGAAGGAAGAAAACACTCAGCTTAAAGAAAGTTTGTCAGATTTAACTTGTTTGGAAGTTGTAAAAGCTGAAGAAGCCTCTCACAGTGATACTTTCAATGATGAAGAGTTAACTGTGCTGGAGCAAAACGGAAAAGCTGTTGAGGATTTTGAGGTATCCTTTCAGACTGCAGGTGGAGAAAATACCAGCGTCTCCAACGATTCGTTAAATAAAACTGTAACGCTATCTGATAAGGAAGCAGAGGAATTTACCTTTTCAAATTGCTTGAACTCCAGCCGCCTACTTTCTGACATGAATAAGAACAAAATGTGTATTTCAGGTTGTGAGGAGACAGTTATGGATAAAAAATTTGAAGAAAATATCCCAGTTAGTTTTGAAAATCAACCACAGATTATGCAGCAGCAACAAGAATGCAGAATAGGAAAGATTAAAGAACCTGCTCAACTGGGTTTTCACACAGCTAGTGGTAAAAAAGTAAAGATTGCAAAAGAATCTTTTGACAAAGTAAAAACTCTTTTTGATGAAATAAAGCAAAATAGTGAAATCACCAGTCTTACCCATCAAGGGGCAAGCACCCTGCAGGTTAAGGAAGACCATGAAGAAGGACTCGAATTGGCAGTTGAGGTAACTATGCCAAAGTGTGAAGAAATGCAGAATTATCTGGATTGTGGTGAGAAAAACTGTGATTCTGATGACACTAGGGTGCTACCTTGGGTAAGTGATAACTTATGCAAACAAACGGAAAGTCTAAAAACAAAAAACATTTCTTCGAAAGTTCAAGAACCTGAAAATGCAGAGATCAAAATGGCAAGAAATCCTAATGACACAAATCCGCCTCCTCTAGCTGTTGGAAATTCAGCTTTGGTGTGTGACACAGAACTGGGTAGAAAAACTTCTGTGAATCAAGCTTTGCCACTTGAAGCCAAACAGTGGCTTAGAGAAGGAGAATTGGATGGTCAGCCAGAAAAAAATGCTGCCAAAGATACATGTGTGAAGGAATACCCTAAAAATTATATTGAAAAACCCTCATGTGAAAATAATACAAATAATACTATAACTGAAAGTGACAAACATCATCTCTCCGGAAAGCGAGATTCACTTTATTTAAATAAAAACGTGTCTCACAACTCTCCATGTCATTCTGATGTCACACATAATGATTCAGGATATCTCTCAAAAGATAAAATTGACTCTGGTGTTGAGCCAGTAGTGAAGAATGTTGAGCAAACAACCAGTGGTTTCTCCAATGTAATGTCTAGCGAAAGAGAAGAAAACGGATGCTCAGAAACTGTGAAAGAAGGAGGCTGTGATCTGCAAGGTGTGGCTCAGTCTTCACCATGCGGAAATAAAGAGAGAGCCACTAGCTCGGCTGTGCCTCACGTGCGTGACTTTGAGGTAGGGCCACCCGCATTCAGTACAGCCAGTGGTAAGGCAGTGTGTGTTTCACATGAAGCAATACAAAAAGTGAAAGAGAGATTTGCAAGTGACTGCCATAAAATGGTCAAGCCAAACACTGGGAGTAAATCAGACTCTTCTCAAACAAGAATTATGGCAGGTTATTTTAAATCATCAGATAATCCAAAGGATCTTATTTTTCCTAACCCTGTCAATAACAATGGACAAAGTGTGTATTCACATAAGGGTTTTGCTGACCTTCAAAATGAGCAGGTGCTACAATATAACCAAAGGCTGTCTGCATTGGTTCAAGTTTCTGAATTGTCACCTTGTCGCGTGAGTATGAAAACTTTGGATGGATGTAATTTTAATGAAAAGATGGTTCCCAAGCCAGCCTTTTCTACAGACTCTGGGATTTTCAGCACAGCAAGTGGAAAATCTGTACTTGTGTCAGATGCTGCGTTACAAAAGGCAAAGCAGATGTTTTCTGAAACGGAAGGTAGTGCAGAACAACTCTTCAGCAAAGTATCATTTCAAGGTAAAGAACGCTCAGGCCAGTTCACAGGAGAGGGAAGTGCTGTGACAGGTGGCCCAGAAAACACACTGTTCCAGAGGGACCTTCCACACAATGTGATAAGCGTATCTGCTTTCTCTGGGTTTAGTACAGCGAGTGGAAAGCACGTTTCAGTTTCCGAGAGTGCCTTACAGAAAGTGAAGGGAATGTTAGAGGAATTTGATTCCATCAGAGCTGAACATTCCCTTCAGGATTCACCTACATATAGACAGAGTGTATTGAAAGCAACCCCTCCTCCTTGTGTTACTAAGAGAACCCCAGAACACTCTGTGAACTCCAAAAAGGCAAGTAAAGAAAATGAATCACCGAGTGATACTGAGCGTTGCTCTTCAGATTATCACTGTGGGGAAGTTTCTCCATGTATCCCTCACTTTAGGAAAGACAAACAGTTGTTATTAAAAAACAAAATACCGCTTGCTGAAAACACCTGTTTTTCGGGGAAACGGCAGGCTTTACCTAAAAGGACGAACATGGAAACTGGTAAAACTGAAACTTTTTCCAGTGATCCTGTGAGAACAAAGAAAGAAATCTGTTCTGCTTACTCAGAAAATGACTCAGAAATGGAGGCAATAGAGATTGCCAAAGCCTTCATGCAAGATGGTGAGCTCACAGACTCTCCAGTGTCAGGTTACGGCAAGCACTCATATCAAAGAAACAAGGGGATGGCTGTTTTAAATTCAAGAATGGGAAAGAGAAGAGGAGGTGCCTTTGTCTCAATTGGTGAGTGACTGTTTACGTTTGAATTTACTGATCTCTGTTTCCTAGTAATGACAGTGCTGTAGGACAAGTGTGTTTTCCAGGCTTTTTCTATGGTGTCGGGGAATGTGCTTTGACTCTTGGGCTCTTCCTAGTCTGTGTACCAAGATATTCATGTTTTGAAGATCTCAGATTTTTTAATTAAATTATATTTGAAGTTTTCCAGAAAAGCTATCTCTTTTATTATAACCATACCAGTGTTATACTAGTTTTTAAAAATAATTGTAACACTTACTACATAGCAGAGATGTAGAATCTGGCTCTTATGAACTTTAAAAGTTGATTTCTAAGTAGCTTCTCTGAGCCTCAGTTTATTTCTTATCCATAACATCTAAGTAACACCTTCCACGCGGAGTAACTCTGCAGATAGAATAGTGTATCTACACACCTGGCACGGACCCTGACACGGGAGGCACAAAGCATTCAGTACCTGTTAGCTTGATTCCTTTTTTTCATCTAAGAAGTATTTTTTTAAAAGACTTATTTATTTTTATTGGAAAGGCAGACATACAGAGAGGAGAGACAGAGAGGAATATCTTCCTTCCAGTGATTCACGCCCCAGGTGACCGCAATGACCGGTACTCGCCAATCTGGAGCCAGAAGGCAGGAGCTCTTCCTGGTCTCCCACACAGGTGCAGAGTCCCAAGGTTTTGGGCCGTCCTCGACTGATTTACCAGACCACAAGCAGGGAGCTGGATGGGAAGTAGAGCTGCGGGATTAGAACTGGCGCCCATATGGGATCCAGGCGCATGAAGACGAGGACTTTAACCACTACGCTTTTGCACTGGGCCCCTAAGAAATATTTTACTACTGTCTTATCTTAACCTTGGGACTCCATCCTACCTTGTCTTATATACCAAACAGCTCAGTTCAGTTATTCGATGATGGGATGTATGTGTGTGTTTTTGTTAATGTCTCACTCTGGATAATCTTACAATTCAATCTGTTAATTAAAATAAATGCTAATACTCCTTTGAGTGAAATATCTAAATTTGCTAGCTCTTTTTTTTTTTTGAAGATTTATTTCTTTTTACCTGAAAAGCAAATTTACAGAGAGAATGAGGGACACAAAGAACTTCCGTCCACTGGTTCACTCCCCAAATGACCCCCAGCGACCAGAACTGAGCTATTTCAAAGCGAGGAGCTCTTCTAGTCCCCCACACTAGTGTAGAGTCTGAAACGCGTAGGCCATCCTCTGCTGCTTTCCCAGGCCGTAAGCAGGAAGTTAGATCAGAAGTGAAGCAGCCAAAATAAAAATAAAAACAATAAATAAAAAACAAAAAATAAATAAATAACAACCGCAAAAAAAAAAAATAGTGAAGCAGCCACAACATGAAATGGCACCTTAAGGGATACTGGGGTTTGAAGGTAGGGGATTAGCTAATTGAGCCATTGTGCCAGCCCCTTACCAGCTCTTTTTAAAAGACAAACTAGTGGTTAAATCCTTAACCTGCATGCCCTGGGATCCCATATAAGCACTGGTTCACGTCCCAGCTGTTCTACTTCCCATCCCGCTCCCTGCTTGTGGCCTGGGAAGGGTGGTCCCACACTGCGGAACCCTGCGCCCATGTAAGAGATCTGGAAAAAGTTCCTGGCTCCTGGCTTCATATCAGCTCAGCTCAGCTCCAGCTGTTGTGGCCACCTGGGAAATGAACCAGCAGACAAAATGTCATTCTCTCTGTGTCTCCTCTGTAAATCTGTCTTTCCAATGAAAAAAAAAAAATACATAAAACAAATATTAAAACAACAACAAAAAATGGTTTGTAGAATATTTTTACAGACGTTGTCTTGGGGCAGGCGTTTGGCTCAGCAGTTCAGATCTCCCATGTGATAACCACACCCCTTGCCAAGTACCTGTGTTTGTTCCACATCCCCCTTCAGTTTCTAGCTTTCTGCTGCCGTACACCTCATGGGGCAGCAGGTTGCGGCCCACGAACTTGGCTCTCTGCTACCCAGACAGGAGATCTGAATCAAACTATTGCCTCCTGAATTTAATCTGGCTCATTCCTGGTTACTGTGAGCCTTTAAAATGAACAGTAAATGAAAAGTACGTGTCTCGTTGCTTTTCAAGTAAATTTTATTTTTGTAAAGGTTATCTACTGCACACCTTCATACCATAGATACATGTAGCTCATTGTGCCACTCTGTGCCTGTAACACTGAAAGTCATCGTGGTAGATACAGATTGGCTTTATCTAGTGTTAGCCATGTCACTTTCTGTGCAAGTTTACTTTATGAGCAAAGTAGTAAGTTTGCAGTACTTACCTTAAGTTACTTGCTGTTCTTTTGTATGGAATCCTGAAATACATACACTTTCTGTGCAAAGCAAGGGCTGAATTTACAGCCTCTCACACTGTGCTTGCGTGTGCAAGAAGTGGGCTGGCATTCTCCTTAGAAAATAAACTGACTTTCGAATGTTCTCAAAAGCTTTGCGATTTAACGTTCCTCGCTTCTGTTGCGTATGAGTGTAGAAGACATCAGCACGAGTCCTTTTGAAGCAATTAGAGCAGTTTCTCATGATGGAACATGCTGAAACCAGACACAGAGGGCCCCACTTACGGTTCACCCCTAGAAAACATTCCCTATAGCAAAGTATCAGAAGCAAAGTCCCACTTCCCACACATCTCAACGTGCCAAGGCAAGTGTGCACCTTGATGAGCTTCAGGCTCACACACATGGCCTCTGTAGGATTCTAAAGTAACAAGTCTGACTAATATGAAGATTGGAAGATTTGAAAACCTGTTTTCCCACTAAGTGAGTCTTAATTCGGGGGTCTATATAGTAAAGCCCTCATTGCATTTAATGTCCCTCCCAAAAGTTTATTTGAAGGAATTTTATTTTTTTTCTCATAGCTATTAGAGTAACATTCAATGCTAATTGTTTAGGGAGTAGCTTCTTGTATTTGGGCAGCATTTTTATTCTTAGGTGCATTAAATAGTGGTATTTTCAAAGGGCTAAAACAATCACAAAATATTCATTTTCTTCCAAAATAGAATGATTGAACTTGTAATTGGAATGACTGTTTTCTTCCTTTAATATATAGTAAATTTTAATGGAATATAGGATTTTGTAAAATTAACACAATTTGCTTTAAAATGTATGTTAAAATTTCCTTTTAGGAGAACCTCCAATGAAAAGAAACTTGTTAAATGAATTTGACAGAATAGTAGAAAATGAAGAAAAATCATTAAAGCCTTCAAAAAGCACTCCAGAAGGTAAAATTCGCGTTTTAGTAATACTTTTCTCCTCTATAAGTATTGTGTATTCTGTGGGCATATGTATTGGAGAAGCTTTTATAATGTAGTTTCATTGTTAAAAAATTTATCTTGCCTTGTTTGTTAAATGAACTTTTCTTTCGTAGCAACTAGTGTGATCTACAATTGTAAAATGTCAGGATTATAGATGACCTTTTATTCTCAATAAAATACGATGTAAGAAATTAGTTTAAAATGTTAGTGTAATAATTTAAAGCTTAGGACCTGGCATGGTACCTTAGGGGCTAAAATCTTCACCTTGCATGTGCCAGGATCCCATATGGGTGCCGCTTTCCATCCAGCTTCCTGCATGTGGTCTGGGAAAGCAGTCAAGGACAGCCCAAACCCTTGGGATCCTGCCACCCGCGTGGGAGACCCGGAAGAGGCTCCTGGCTCCTGGCTTCAGATCTGTGCAGCTCTGGCTGTTGCGACCACTTGGGGCATGAATCAGCAGATGGAAGATCTTCCTCTCTGTGTCCTCCTCTCTATATACTTACTTTCCAATAAAAAATAAATAGATCTTTAAAAAATAATAATAATTTAAGACTTAGGTTCTAGAATCCAGTTTCTTGACATGTTCCCCCGCCTTCCCACTCCCCACAAATCATCATTCTTTTCTCTAACTAAGCAGATGTGACCCAAGTTCCTTACATTTCTTTGCCTAGATTTTAGTGACTCTCAAAGCTGTATCTGCAGCCTTACCTGTTCTTAAAACCCTGCACTTGTTCACTCCCCCTCTTGGAGCATCTCTACCTGGATTGCTGGAAGGTGCCTCAAAATGCACGCGGCCGGTGTCAGACACCTGATTCCATCAGTGCTGCAGAGTTGCTCCTCCTGTTGTCTCTCCTTTCATCAGTAACTCTCCATTCTGCCAGTTAGTCAAAAAAAATGCAGCTTTTACTCTATTTCCTCATGTTCTGTGCCCAGCCTGTTAATAAGTTGCATATAAGCTCTATCTTCAAAAATATCAACATTCTTTCATGTCTGCCACCCTTATCCACTTTCGGAGTTTCAAGCTGATCTCTGCTTTTGCCGTTGGCCCATCTCCAACCAGAATTGCCTTTGTAGCGCAATGGTCACATCATGTTACTTGGCTGTTTTGTCTATTAATTTTTGGTATTATTTAGTATTGTTTATATAGCTGAGAAGGATGTATACTCATGTGGACCACTGATTAGGGTGGGGAGGGCCAAGGAATGCAGGAAGGTGGATGAGACAGGTGCTTCCAATGTTTTTCTTCCTGTGTCTGGGGGAAGCGGGGAGAGAAGTGGAGTGGGACGGCCACTTGAAGTCGTTCTAGAATCCCCGATGTGGAACATTTCTGAAGGTACTGCTTAAGTGGATTCGATATTTTTGAGATGTTGTTGATTTTGTCTCTCCAAGGTTGAGGAAATCCTTCCAAGGTCCCGTACTCTAATATTTTGTTTCTGGGTGATATCATTTAATTTATTTTTCTGTTCTCTATTAGGCAGTGTAATAATTATTGTTAATGATAGCAAATCATTTTCTTTCTCTGTTGGGTAAAATTAAATGCATGGATTTTTATTGATGAAGTGTATACATAGAATGTAAAGAGTATACTCCTTTGTAAAAAGGAAAACATTGATTTTCATGTCAAATACTTCCATATTTGGAATTGTTATTCAAACTGTTTCCCTGGGGTTTATTTTTTGTGTTTTGTCTTTCTAGATCTCAGCTGATCTTTGGGTACTTCTTTTTATTCGCACAGTTATTTATTTATTTTCTAGGATGTTCTTGGGATTTTCCTCCCCCAGTACTCGAATTAGCCATCCTACCAAAGATTCTTCAGTAACTAATAGATTTTAGAAAAAGATTTGGGTGATAGGCATATTGTTGCTGCTGCTGCTGTTACTGTTTTGTTTTTATGCTGGAAATTATTTTTTTGTAATAACATTGAGATATTTACTTGTTTGCTTAATCCTGCAGCCATGGTTCTAGAACCCTTTAAATGTCAGAGCCTCTTTATACTCTGAACAATCATTCTTTTCAAGATTTACTTATGTATTTTAAGGTGAGAGTTGAAGAGAGAGAAAAAGAGAGGGAGGTCTTCCATGTACTGGTTCACTCCCCAGGTAGCTGAAATGGCCACGGCTGAGCTAGGCTGAGGCCAGGAGCCAGGAGCTCATCCAGGTCTCCCACATGGGTGCAGGGTCCTAAGGCTTTGGGCCTCAACTCCTTTCCCAGGCCACAAGCAGGGAGCTGGGTGGGAAGTGAGGCTGATGGGATTAGAACCAGCATCCATATGGGATCCTGGCACGTTCAAGGCGAGGACTTTAGCTGCTAGGCCATGGCACTGGGCCCAATCATCTTTTTTTATGTATTGAAAATTTTAATGTCTGTAATTGTCTCAAAAGTCTTCTGTAAATATTCACAACATATAAGAAAATGAAAGTAAAATATCTTACTAACCTTTTTCTAGGCGCTATAAAAGATAGAAGATTATTTAAGCATCACGCTTGTTTAGAACCAGTTACCTGTGGACCCTTTTGGTAAGACAAATTTAAACTTTTTTTCCATTGTAATATTTCAGAAAGCTATAGGTTATAAGCTTTTGGTGCTAATTTGCATTAAGCAACTTAACATGACCCTTTTTGACACCTCCATCGGGATTGAATTCTGTACTTTGGTAGTACTTTTTAGTGTTCTTCATATAATTAGTTAACATTTTAGTTTCATAGCAGTTTCATAAAGTAAACAAGCAGGGTATATTACAGTTTTCTGAGTGATGTACTGAGGTTTAAAAGGATTAAAGGAATACACAAGGATAGTTAACAAAAAGGTGGCAGATATTGACTGTAACTTTTCTCTGCCTTATTTCAACCCTACTGAAATTGCAACGAGAAATTTTTAACATATAATTCCCAAGGACAGCAATCAGAAGAAGCAAGAAAAGCTTGTAAGCCAAAATAGGAGTGACTTAACAAAGATAAGAAAACTAAAATTTGACATAAAGCTAGCAGAGAAGAACCTAATTTCCCCTAAGGAACCTGAAAAAGCTTCAGATAGGCAAAAATGGAAAATTTTGAGAGGAAGGTTGAGATGGGTAGATTAAAAGAATTTATGTTAAATAAACATCTCTATCATCTCCCTGATTGCAGTTATCACCCCTTACCTGAAAACTAGTTTATCCTCCGGAGCAGAGGAAGTGGAGTCCGTCTGAAACGGGGAAGGGCTGGGGCGGAGGACACTGGCACAGTGAGGGAAGAGCAGGTGAAGCAGCTGCAGTGGAGTTCTGTGCCAGGCAGTGGGCCCAGCCCCCTCTCCACACTAGGCTCCCAAATCCTGGCAGGCTCTAGGTGGGATACTGGAAGACCAATAGGAAAGACCTAGAAAGTACTCACATGAAAGCAGAGCCAGCAGTTGACAAAACCTGCCAGCACACACTAGTTAGCTGTTTAGTGCCTCACTTGATGAGAATAATCAAGAGGCACTGTTCACTGCGGGAACATTCTCATGGAAGACTAGCCAACGAAAACAAAAGAACTTACAGGGGAAAAAATTGTCCAAGGAGAATACTTAAAAACAAGACTCCCAAGTAAGAAGTGATATTGCATCCTTAAGATAGAATAAATTGCTATAGAAAGAGCTCTTAATTTTTTTTTTTTCCAAAATATGAGGGCAAACATTAGTGGTAGAGCCAGTTAGGCTATCTCCATAAGAGTACCACTTCAAGTCCTGGGTGCTTTGCTGCCAATATAACTCCCTGCAAATATGACTGTGGAAGCAACAAGGATGGGACAAGCACTTGGGTCCATGCCACCCATGTGGGAGACTTCAGTCTCACCTCGCCAATGTGGCCAATCAGAGAATGAATCAGTGAATGGGAATGACTCATTCTGAAGCTGCTTTCTCTCCCTCCCCCTCTCGCTCTGTGTTTCAAATGAGTAAAATAAATCTTAAGACAGCTAGTCTTTCCTCAGTTACATCCTGTGCACACTTCACCCTCGCGCTCGGTGTGTGGCGCTGACACGGTTATTACCCCTGCCTTCCTGACGTGTTACTGACCGGCTGCTGGAAGGCTGTTCTTGTGTTGCTGTTGTTTCTCCTGTGCTAGCTGCCCCCGACCCTCCACTGTTCACCCCCGACCTCTTCCAGCCTTCCCTCTCCAGTGATCAACCTGTACTCCTGACTTTATATGCCACCTATTTACCATAGGAACAGAATTAACACCTCCATTCCAGATGTCTTCCCTATAGCACACGTTCATTCAGCCTACTGCCTTGACATTTTTATTTGCATGACTAATAAACATTTTTTTATGAAGGAAAAAAACTAGAACAACTGTCAGGAAAGTTGAACAGAATGAGTTTACAGAAGCAATTGTACAGAATACTCATGGGCAAGCAGGTTGTTAAGTAGTGGAAGAAGTCAAAGTCAACTGAACTAGACATTGGAGAAGTAGAAGTAACTAGTTTATCTTACCTATTGAAAAAGGTTGATCATGCAGAGGTGACAACAGAGACCAAGCTAAATGAAAGGGATGCCTTGAAAAGGTGTGACAGAGAGAGGTGGGGTAACAATAACAGTTCAGCTGCTAGAGGGAACAGGTATCAGATGGAGTCCGGAGTTCAGGTGAGCAGGTGCGCCGCCGCGCGTGAGATTTGTGGATAGTTCCCTGACAAGGGAGCCAGGTGGGGAGGACTGTGATAGAAGTGAAGAGAATGCATCCTGAGAGTTCACCCTTAAACCCTTTCGTTATGGGAACTAGGTTGTACAAACCCTGGAAATCAGTGTGTGAGAAACAGGTACAGCCTGGGAAAGTATAGTACCTTTTTTTTTTTTATCATGGAAGCCGTGGTGGGTGGAAATAGGGATGCCATGTGGCAGTTAATGGTCTGCAATAAAAGACATGTTCCCAAACATGTACATGTATGGTTTACTGGTAAATAATCAAGCATAAATATTTTCTCCCCATTGTAGCACAACTAGAGAACGTCAAGAAATACAGAATCCACATATCACTGCACCTGGACAAGAATTTCTGACTAAATCTCATTTTTATGATCACTTGAATTTGAAAAAATCCTCAAGCAGCTCATCTGTTTCAGAACAAACATGTCCTAAAGCTCCTACTACAGCAAATGAAAAGACGAGGCACTCAGTGGCTACAGACCAACCAGCCAAAGTCTTCATCCCACCTTTTAAAGTTAAATCACATTTCCAAAAAGATGAACCGTGTGTTGGAACGGATATTCGTTTGGAGGAAAACAAAGAAACCCATAAAAACATAAGTGAACGTGGCTCTGATGATAGTGAAACTCAGATTGGGACTGGTGAAGCCCATGAATTTAGCAGAAGCAGCTCCGATCAGGCAGCGACTGTTACCTTTACAAAGTGTGAAGAGGAGCCTCTAGGTAGAAAGTCTGTGTGACATGTTTTTGCCTTTTAATTAGATGGTTCTTATTAAATAATGCCCTGAGGGCTTTTTGCCCTTTCATGGTGATTAATAATTTTAAAGCCTTTTCTGGTTTTTAAGATTTTCTAGATTACATTTAATTTATTCCAGTGGTTTATATTAAACCTAACTACCTATAGATTTGTTTACAAGAAGTCATCAGATGCACAGTTTGAGACTGTTATTAACATATTATTTACCATGCTACTACTAGCATTCTTCCAAGACTGAGGTAAAAGTCAGATATTGTTGTTATTCACCATTGCACCTGATGACCCCCCACAGTATTTCTATTCTTTATACAGCTTTACAAATGGGGACTTTTTTCATTCCTGAAGACTTCAAAGTGCGCAGTGTCCCCTTTAGTCTGCAAATAGAATTAGGACATATCCGTGTTAATTTTATTTGAGATTATGCCTATTAAATTTGTATTCAATTTCATGTTTTCTATTTGTTCTTTAATAGATTTAATTGCAAGTTTTCAGCATGGCAGAGATATGCAAGATATGCGAATTAGAAAGAAAAAAAGGCAACATATTTTTCCACAGCCTGGCAGTCTGTATCTTACTAAAACATCTACTCTGCCAAAAATCTCTCTGAAGACAGCAGTAGGTGGCCGGATTCCCTCTGCATGTTCTCATAAACAGGTATTCCTCTGTCTATAGAACATAGTAGTTTTATGGCATCCTGTTGTCAAGGTATTTTTAACAGTTACATTGGGAATCCTACTTTTATTCAAGGGGTAAGATATGCATACTGCAGCATATCTGTACTCCCTTATAGAGCTCCTCTGTGAGAATATGTGTGTATACAGGCTTGCCTGTATGTCTGCTTATCTTGTGTTTTGCTTGAACATTACCTTGTGTCATAGATCATATGATATTTGTTGTTGTTCTTGCTTAGTCCTCACAACTACCCTGAAAAAGGTATCCTTTTGTCCATTATTTTGCAAGTAAAACAATTGAATAATATAATGTTCAGTTACTGCCCCCAAATCACCTAACTGGTGAACGAAGAGCTACGGTTTCCAAGCAAGGGAAGATGCTGCCTGGTTCAGACACTCCAGGGTAAAAAGAAACATCTTGAAAGTAGGCAAAGCCTCTGTGGAAATTGGAGCCGTTGAGATTATATTCCTTGAAATACACTTTTTCTTATTTTTTCCCTCCTGTATTTTTGAACTTGGAAGATTTCAGAAAGCACTAGATTATTTTATAAGCGCACAGTGCCTGCCTTTTGCAGATTCAGCAGAAGGCAAACATACAGGAAAATGAAAAAACTGTGGTGGATTCTTGAATGGTTAACTCACTTTTATAGTACATTACATTTCTATTTTAAGTCATATTTTTTTCATGGTAAATATTTTAGTGTCTAAGTGGAAAGCATGTGACAGATTTTGTTTTGATTTGTTGTATTTTTATCCCATGAAAACTTCATTTTGTTTGACTTTTTCATTACCAAAAGTTTTATGTCACTTATTTGGCACAGCTGTATATGTATGGAGTTTCTAAACACTGCATAAAAATCAACAGCAGAAATGCGGAGTCTTTCCAGTTTCACATTCAGGATTATTTTGGTAAGGAAGAATTATGGGCTGGAACGGGGATACATTTGGCTGATGGCGGATGGCTTGTTCCCTCCAATGATGGAAAGGCTGGAAAAGAAGAATTTTACAGGTACTTCATGCAAATGATTTTGTGTGAACATTTATATATACCATCGTTCTGTCTCCCTCATAATTACCTGCTTTCCTTCTTTCCTTACACTTGAAATCTGTTCTTTCATTATATATTTTAGTAAATATAAAACAAACACTAAAAATTAAGAACTTAAATGTAACACTAAATATTACTAGAAAATCCCAGTATAATATTAACAATTTAGAAACCACACAATTTTTATTTAGAATTTTTGCTGTCAAGGATGGATTAACAAGAAATGGGAAAACTGGGCCCAGGACAGTGGCTCAGTGGGCCTTCCATGCACCAGGATCCCATATGGGCACTGTTTCATGTCCCCGCTGCTCAACTTCCCATCCAGTGCCCTCCCTGGGGCCTGGGAAGGCAGTGGAGGATGGTCAAGGCCTGGAACCCCTGCACCCATATGGGAGGCGCAGGAAAAATGTCCTGACTCTTAGCTTCATATGGACCCAGCTCTGCCTGTCACAACCATTTGAAAAGTAAACCAGTAAATTAAAAATCTCTTTTCCCTTCTCTCTGTAACTCAAGTTAAATAAATAATTTTTTATTTTTTAAATTTGTCTTAGCACTAACTTCCAGAAGTGAGAAGACAAAAAATAGAAGAAAAATTGATTGTTCAGTTGTGGACATTAGAAGCTTGAGACAGGAGAGTAAGGCATCCTAGTGGAATGGTTAGGTAGGCAGCTGGACATGCACATCTGGAGTTCATCAGTTAAATATGATGATGGACCAAAAAATGATTTTGCAGCTATCAAAATGATTTTGATAGGAAGTAAAGCAGCAAATGAAGACCTCTCTTACTGTGTCTGTGTGTAATTCTCTTTCAAATAAATAAAAGAGGATGTTAAAAAAAAAATACAGTGGAAAGAGGAGGAGGAATTACAGATAAATGAGAAAAAGAAACATTGTGAGAGACCCATCAAGACTAGGAATAGCATTCTTTTTTTTTTTTTCTTAAGATGCATTTATTTATTTGAAAGTTAAGGTTACAGAGGAAGGGAAGAGACAGATTGGCAATCTTCCATCCTCATTTGTTCTCCCAATGGCTGCAGCAGCCAGGGTTGGGCCAGGTTGAAGCCAGAAGTCAGTAACCTCATCATCATCTTGCACGTGGGCAGCAGGGGTCCAAGGACTTGGGCTGTCTTCTGATGCTTTCTCCAGATCACCAGTAGGATTGGAAGTGGAGCAGCCAGGACACGGAACGGTGTCATAGGAGGTGCCAGTGAAGTTAAGCATCTGATTTTGCTAGGAACTGTCTTTGAGTTGAAGTCATTGCGTTCACTGTTTCATTAGTGGAATTTTCATTAGTGTGCTACTTTGATACATGCTTGATAATTTTGTAATTATTTCTTATATTATTTCTTGTAAGAACCTCCTGAATGATCTTTCAAAAGGTAGTCTTGTTATGGAAAGTTAGAGTTGTGAAATTCAGTATTATCCTTGTGACTTTTATCATGCTGTCTCACCTTGGTTTCCTCAGAGCTCTGTGTGATACACCTGGTGTGGATCCAAAGCTTATCTCCCGAGAATGGGTCTACAATCACTACAGGTGGATTATATGGAAATTGGCAGCTATGGAATTTGCTTTTCCTAAGGAATTTGCTAATAGATGCCTAAACCCAGAGAGAGTGCTTCTTCAACTAAAATATAGGCAAGTTTAACGTGTTCCGTTAAGCTATTTTATGCTGCAGTTTGATTCAGGCTTCTGTGCAGTTTGTGAGTTCTACATCAAAGAGGCTAATTTTAAAAATCTTTTAAAAATGACGCATGAGTCGGTTGTTGATGACAGTTTTCTATCCTTCCACTGTTCATGTGTGTAGTGTAATTCTCTTGTCATCCTCGAGCCTGACCTCAAGTGAGATTGCTCATTCGTGTATCTCTTCCTTCTTTCTTCCCTCACTACCTGACTTCTTAGGTTATGGAAAGAATATGAATTCCTAACATGGTCTACTCATAGGAGATTGCTAATATAATGCTTACTTTTTCTTCTTCATTCACATTATAACAAATAAAACTTAGTATACTGCTTGCTACAAGATTTTACTTTCACAATAGTTCATTAATAAATTTTTATTCCCAATTATTCAATGACTTTTACAATGAAGTCTGAAGTCTTGATTTCTAAATTATGTATTTTCTTTTCCTTTCAGATATGATATGGAAATTGATAGAAGCAGACGATCTGCTATAAAAAAGATACTAGAAAGAGATGATACACCTGCAAAAACCCTTGTTCTCTGTGTGTCTGACATAGTTTCATCAAACACAGATTTATCTGAAACTTCTAGCTGTAAAGCCAGTAACGTGGACACCAACAAAATGGCCATCATTGAACTCACGGATGGATGGTATCCTGTGAAAGCCCAGTTAGATCCTCCCCTCTTTGCCCTCTTGAAGAATGGGAGACTCTTTGTAGGTCAGAAAATCATCGTCCACGGAGCCGAGCTGGTGGGTCCCCCTGAGGCCTGCATGCCACTGGAAGCCCCAGAATCTCTTATGTTAAAGGTAAATTGAATTTATGAATACTCCTGATAAAACTCAGCCACTGATTCCGTTAAATTGTAGAGAAGTTTTACATTAAAATTTTTTAATTTACTCAGGTAAGTAAGGATGCTTTATTTAACAAAAAAAAATATATTGATCATTTTAGTGTAACAGGCAGATTTTCAGTTTGTGCTGTTTTAGAGAAAGGCAAAGATCATTTTCAAGGTAAAATAATGCAGCCTCAGTTATGGAACAAGAGTAAATTTGCACCAGGTACACAATTTCCAGATCTCTCTTGCTGCCATCTTGTTCCGGCTTCCTGCTTTACCTGGCTGCAACCAACACCTAATTATCTGACTGGATTCTTGTTCCACAGTGATTTAGAAAACTGAGATTGAGTGCTTCTCAAATATGCAATAATAAACCCTTCATCTGTAGATTTTAAACTGTGAGATAGGATTGTGTCATGTTAAGTAACCCACAGCATTGCTATCAGGAGTTACTGATAACATTACATTTAGATTAACTTAAGCTGTCACCTTGTGGAGGATTTACACCTGTTGTAACCTGGATCTCGTAGTTGAGTGTGTTTCATCAATGAAATATTTGTAAAGTTCAACAGATGTTTGTATGGCATTGATTCCACAGTGAGGTGCTTTTTGCTGAAAACACGCCCTCAGGTGGAAATGGAAATGAGCTTTTGCTTTATGTTGCTTAGAATATCAGGTACATGGTGGCTTTCATTTTCTAGTTTGCTGTATTTTTTCCAAATCAGTGCATGGGCATAATTTGGAAACTAAAGTGAAACAGGGCTTATGAGTAAAAGCAAATAGTTACTGGCACACTCCTACCCAGCCCCCACTTGTGCTCTGGTAAGACAGCTATTTCTAATCCCTTTGGCTATTTTGCTGATATTGCTGTGTCTCCTTTTTCACTTTAGTTTAGACATTAACTGCTAAACTGTGCTGTGCGAGATGAGGATTTAAGTCGCTTATGCGACATGGAGCGTTCTCTCCAGCATCCGTGTTTGTTATCTGGCCCTTTAGCTTCAGTTCTGTAAGCTTAGGGAAACCTCATTTCTTGCCTCAGATATGTCGGTATAACACAAAGCCAGCTAATACACCTCCCTTTCATGTTTTCTAGAACTTGTAATGTTTGAAGAGTAAGCCATATAGATCGTTTTCTCTGATTTTCTCATCTTTTCTTCTGTTTTCTGTTTCATTGTCTTTTTTCCCCCTACTCTGTATCATTGATTTTTTTTCTCAATCTTTGAAGTGAAATTTGTGCATTCTAGCACAATTTTCTACTTTTTTGTTTGTTTGTTTGGGTAGGGGAAGAATTTTAACATTGTAATTCCTTTAGAAGTAAATCACATTTTATAAACTAAGAAACAAATTCAACCCCAGATTGTTTAGCCCTCTGAGGACGCAGACTGAGTCTTGCAATCTTTAGCAATAAGGCTGTCAAGTCTAAATAATAACAATGTATCTGTATTGTGGGTTAGGACAGCCAAGGCCTACTGCTTAGAGTCTTGATACACAGAGCCTCCTTATCTGTAACAGATAAGATGATCCAAGTTACAGGCTGGCTGACATTTGGAACCAGGCCAGAACTGGCCAAGGACTGGTAAACAGAGGAAGTGTTTACATTCTGAAAACCTATTCTGTGGTATAAAAATCCTAGTTACTGTCATTTTAAAAAATCAACCAAAAGATATTACAGATGGACCCACACTGGTATATGATATTACCAAGGTCTTCCACTATAGCATGCAGTGATAAGTATAGGGGATGTGAAATTCAGATTTTATTTGAAAAGCAGAGTTACATAGGAGAAACAGAGATCTTGCATCTACTGGTTCACTCCACACATGGCCTCAACAGCCAGAGCTGAGCTGATCCAAAGTTGGAAGCCAGGAGCTTATTCCAAGTATCCCACGGAGAAGCCAGGACTCAAACCAGTATCTCATATGGGATATTGGCACTTGCAAGTGGAAGATTAGCATACTGTTTAGATATTTTTAAAATAAACCACTTATTAATAAGAAATTAGATGTATTGTGTTCTTCCGTTTGTTTCAGGAACAAATAGCAATGAAGACTATTTTAAAGAAACGCTCAACTCTGAACAGGGTGTTGGCAGCGACACTTAACGCTGTAGAACATCTCACTTTCCTAGTTAACATTCCTGTTCTTCATTGTGCCTAGTGATGTGGAGAAACCTCTCAGGAGCTTATGCCCAGGACCGGAGACGAAAAACATAGCATGTCCTAACTGATTGTAAGCTCCGTTACCATTTTTAGATTAGACTTAGAGAATTCAACCGTAATGCATCTTCAGAATGCAGAATTCCTTAGCTTTTAGCCATGGTTTCTGTTCAGAATCCTAGAACTGAGCATGGTCCCTCCATCACCACTCAGGACTAAGGTGACTTCTTGTCCCTGAAGACTCAGCTCTCATCCTGGGAGAAGCCCCATAGCGTCTGGACGATAGTAGGGAATACACCTGAGAGCTCTGAAGATCCCGGTCTTCCTCCACTTTTCTCAGTTCTGACAGCGAAAAGCAGCCTGTGATCATTATGAAAGTGCTAATCAAAACAACACAGTACCAAGCACACTAACTTTGTAGCGAATCTGAGGACATTTCTTAAGCTGAGAGTAAATGTAGCCTTTGTCTGTACTAAGGAGCTTTGAGTGTTTGCCTCTAGCCGGAGGCTCCGGTACCAAGCTGAGAGGAGACAGCAGCATGACGCCCTGGCACAGCTGCAGTGGGAGGGCTGGGCACGGCCGCCCGTGAGCAGGGAGCTCGCGCAGCATTCGGCCCAAGTTTCAGTCTCACAAGGTCTTTATGATTCCCCTGGTTTTTTGTTCTTTACGTGCAGACCTTGTTTCAGGTACACCTTGCTGAAATTGCTGATTAATGTTTTGTTTTAACTTCTTCCACTTCCTGCTATTTTTTTTCCTCTGAGGACCTTCCTGTTATTGCTGATTTTCTTTTTCGAGAGGATGACCACTGACCTGACTAGACACTGTACATGTAGGGCTCATCAGACGACAGGGCGATAGCACAGGGCATTGCTTTTTCCATTAATCACTCAAGCGTGCTAACTGTTCTGAGCGCTGAGCAGAGTGAGCCGAATGATGGCAACTGGCTTCCAGCCCAAGGATTTTCATTTCTGCTTAGTTTTCAATGCAGTGTTTTACTCTCTTCCTCACTGTCTTTGCCCAGGGATCCGGAGTCTGGTTCTGCCTTGCCAGAAAGCTCTTTAGTTTTTTGTTTGTTTGCTTGTTTGTTTGTTTCCTGTGGGAGAGAGACAGCCACCTGAAGCCTGAACCAAGAGAAGAAATAGGACATCTGAACTTGCAATGCACAGAATTTCAAACACTCGTTTTTGGCTCTACATTATACTGCTGCTTTCAGACATACCTGTTTGTCTAGTTCCTGAGCGTTTGACTTTAATTATTTGGTTTCGTATTGGCTCCTTAGAATACGTGTAAGTGGCTGAGTAACCTGGGTTAAGTAATGTGACTTCTTGGACACAAAGTGGTTTTTTTTTCCCAGTTTTATGACTCTAAAAATTGGGTTATATCTTTTTTTTTCTTTTTAAGATTCATTTATTTTTATTGTAAAGTCAGATTTACAGAGAGGAGGAGAGACAGAGAGTAAAATCTTCCACTGATTGACTCCCCAAGTGGCCACAAAAGCCTGAGCTGAGCCAATCCAGAGCCAGGAGCCAGGAGCCCCTTCCAGGTCTCCCACATGGGTGCAGGGTCCCAAGGCTTTGGGCCATCCTCGACTACTTTCCCAGGCCACAAGCGGGGAGCTGGATGGGAAGTGGAGCTGCCGGGATTAGAACCGACGCCCATATGGGATCCTAGAATGTGCAAGGCAAAGACCTTAGCCACTAGGCTCTCGCACTGTGCCCAGAATTGGGTTATATCTTGGGGACGTCGTGAAGACCAAATGTCGGTCTATTTAGGCCGTTACTAGCCCGCAGGTAAGCATCGTGACTCGGAATGTGAGCCTCACTGTCAGCCGTCATCCTTCGCAGGCTGCTTCCGCTCCTTGGCCCACAGGTTTTTAGGTTCCAAAACTTTGGTGACTTCTTATGTTCTGTTCTCCCTCTACTCCTGCTTCTCTTAATGACCTTTCTGAGAAAATGTGGCTAAGTAAGCATATTGTAACCCATCATGTTTAAATTAAAGTCCCTTCTGTCTTTTTTCCAATAAGTATTTAACACTAAAGCTTTTTAAGATGACATGTTTTGAAAGCATTTTTTCATACAGTTTTTCTGTTTATTCACATTCTTGTTTATTTTTAATGAAACATTTGGAAGTAAATATTTCGAAAATAGACCTAAAAAAAATAAATAAAAGTACTCATCAGATCTGTAGTAGAATTGGGTATAAACTTAGCTTCTGAATTGATTTCTTCATTACTCTGCAGGTTTCCGCTAACAGTACTCGGCCTGCGTGCTGGCACACGAAGCTCGGGTTCTTTCCCGACCCTCGGCCATTTCCTCTGCCTTTGTCGTCACTGTTCAGTGACGGAGGAGGTGTTGCCTGCGTCGATGTGGTTATCCAGCGGACATACCCTGTACAGGTATGACGAGTGGCAAAATTAGCCACAAACCTCTGTATTTTTAACGGGATTTTTTGATAGAACAAGTTTGAATCGATTTTTGATAAAATACCTGATTTACAGTGGATGGAGAAGACATCTTCCGGACTGTACGTATTTCGCAATGAGAGAGAGGAAGAAAAGGAGGCAGCTAAATATGCAGAGGTCCAACAAAAGAAATTGGAAGCCTTATTCGCTAAAATTCAAGCAGAGTTTGAAGAGCATGAAGGTAAAATAAGCTATTTTGTTGTATCAGAAAAAAGTGTGAGAGGCTCCTAATGTAACATTTTTTGAAACAGGAAAATCTTCTATCTTTAGTAAAAATTAAGATATCTTTCTGATTCAGAATCTGAACTTTTCTGATTTTTAAAAATTCTTTTTACACAGATAAACATTGAACTAACTTCACATTTTCATGTCTATCCAACACATTGAGCCTTCAGATACCATTTTTTTTTTTTGTCTTAGGCAGTAAAGAGTTACATGCTTAAGCAGAAGCCCTGAGTGAACTCGCAGCTAAGCTGCGGTGCTTGTCTCCTTTCTTGGTAATTGAGGGGGAACAGCAACACAGGCGAGGATGGTCATCTTTTCCCCTGACACATGTGGCGTTCTTCTTACTCTTACATTTTTCTCGTTATGCTGCTAGTTGTCATGTTATTGAACCTTGTACTAGAGCCTATAACTTGTGGTATCAAATTCAACAAGTGAATGCTTTAAAGGACATAAATTTTGCTTTCTCTAATCTACCTTTTTTGTTACTGCAGAATTTGTTTTCCTGTATTTCCCCAGAATTTGCTTGTGTTACTTGATTTCATTTTCTGTTAAGTCTGTGCAAAGATTGAACTTATGATATTTGCTTAAAATTATCACTTGCTCTTTCTGTTTGCAAATTACACCAGCCCCAACTGGGCTATTGCAGTTTGGTAGAGTACCTTAAAATCAGACACGGTGTTATCTTCATCTTTGTTCTTTTTGTTCAGGATTGCTTTGGCTATTCAGGGTCTTTAGAGATTCCATATCAATTTTAGGATAAACTTTTCTAGCTTGGGGAAGAAATTAATTTTGTTGTTGTCGTTTTTATGGAGATATCATTGAATCTAAATCAGTTTGGGTAATATGGGCATGTTAACAATATTAATTCTTACACTTCACGAACGTGAGAGGTCATTTCTGTGTGTTTATGTGCCTTTAGTGTCTTTCATCAGTGTTTTATAATACTCACTGTAGAAATTTTTCATATGCTGGGTTAAATTTATTCTAAGGTATATTATTTTTATAGCTATTTGGATAGAGTCATTCCTACCATTTCTTTGAAATGAGTTTGTTATATGTATAAAAAGATACTGATTTTTGTGTGTTGGTTTTGTATTCTGCCAAATTATAATCTGTCTGTTCTAATAGTTTCTTGGCAGAATTTTAGGGCTCTTTTTGTAGAAAATGCACTATCTTCAAATAGGAATAATTTGACTTCCTTTTTTCCTATTTGTGTATCTTTAGTTCTTTCTCTTGTGTAATTGGTCTGGCTGAACTTCATCCTGTGTCTCCCACGTGGATAGCGGAAGTCCAGGTGCTTTGATTTGGATGTGGGCATCCCCAGTAGCTTACCCCCCTGTGCCACAGTGACCACCCTTCTAGTACTGCATTGGATTAATAGGGAGTGCCTGTCTGCTTCCAGACCTGCTAAACAGAATTTTCTTCCCTGTTCAATAGAATGTTGCCTCTGGGTTTGTCATGTGTCACTTCTGTTGTGCTGAAGTGTGTTCTTCTATGCCTAATTTATTCAAAGTTTTTATGAAGAACCAGTGTTGAAATTTATTGAAATGGCTTTTCTGCACCTGGTGAAGTGACTTTGTGTTATTTATTCTTCATTGTGTTGTGATGTATTAGATATCTTGATTTCCATATATTACTTCATTCCCGGGATAAGAACCACCTAACTTTAAGTATTTTCAATGTGCAATTGGATTTTATTTTTATTTGGTTGGAAATTTGTGTGTCTGTTTATCTGGGATATTGATGTATATTTTTCTGTTATTGCTGCTTCCCTGTCTGGTTTTGGAATCAAGGTAGTGAGAGCCTTGTGGATTTCTGAAAACTCCCCTCCCTTTAACATTTTAAAAAGCACTTTGCGAACTGGTGTTACTTTAGAAGTTTTGTTGAATTCAGCAGTAAAGCCATTTGATACTGGGCTCTTTGTCAAAGGATGATTTGCTTATTCAGTTCCAATTCTCATTATTGATTTGTTTGGGTTTTCTGTGTCTTTGTGGCTCAATTGTCCTAAGTTATATATATAGAAATTTACTTATTTATTCCAGGCTTCCCAGTTTATTTAGTGTGTACATTATTCAGAATGTTCCCTAATGATACTTTGTATTTGTGATATCAAGTGTAGGATCTCTTTTTATCTCTGATTTCATGCGTGTGAGTCATCCCTGTTACTTCTTAGTAAGTGTAAGCAAAAGTTTACCAACTTTATCTTTTTAAACAAGCCTAATGTCATTGTTCTTTTCATTTCTGTTTCATTTGTCTTTGCTCTAATGTTTATTAACCTTTTACTACCTGTGTGAGTTTGGTCTCTTGCTTTTGAAGGCACTGGAGCTGCACTACTGGGTTATTTTTTTATATGATTTCCCCCTGTTTTGGAGGCACTACAGATATTAATTTTCCTCTTAATAATTATTGCTTCCAAAGTTGTTGTATCCCATAAGTATCATATGTTGTACTTAAATTTTCATACATTTAAAGGAATTTTTAAATTTCTCTAATGAGTTTTTCAGTGACCCCCTGTTTATTCTGGAGAATATTATCCAGTCTCCTCGTATTTGTACAATTTCTAGAGGGTTGTTTTGGTTTTATTCCGTTGCAATCAGAAGAAGAATGACATGACTTTTTTTCAATTTGTTGAGAATTATTTTGTCTGTAATCTGTGCTAGACAGTATTCCATGTATTAATGAAAACAAGCTGTCGGTGCTGGATGAAACAGATAGTAAATGTCTCTTAGGTGCATTTGGTGTATGGTTTATTGCATAATTTAACCCTGATGTTTCTTTGTTGATTTTTTTGGTTTTGGTTTTTTTTTTTTTAATTATTTTCTTATTGGAAAGGCGGATATACAGAGAGGAGAGACAGAGAGGAAGATCTTCCATCCGATGATTCACTCCCTAAGTGAGCGCAACGGCCGATGCTATGCCTATCTGAAGCCAGGAGCCTCTTCTGGGTCTCCCACGTGGGTGCAGGGTCCCAAAGCTTTGGGCCGTCCTCGACTGCTTTCCCGGGCCACACGCAGGGAGCTGGATGGGAAGTGGGGCTGCCGGGATTAGAACCGGCACCCATGTGGGATCCCGGGCGTGCAAGGCGAGGACCTTAACCACTTGAGCCACCGAGCCGGGCCCGGTTTTGTTTTTTTTTTTTTTTACTTGGATGATCTGTTTATTGATGAAAGAGGGTTGTTGAAGTCTTCTTGTACTATTGTATTGGGGCTTCTCTGTCCCTTTAGATAATTGGATACATAGATATTTATAATCATGCTTATTGATCCCTTGATAATTGTATCGTGACTTTGTTGTTTTGGTTTGGTTTGATTTTTCGTCTTCTTTTTTGTTTAATCTTTGTTACTCATGCTCACTTTTGGCTTCCATTTGTGTGGAGTGTCTTTTGCCATCCTCTCACTTTCACTCTGATGAACATAAAAGCCAATGCTAAATATCAAGTCTGAAGTCTGGACTTCATTTGATTTCCCTCCTGCAGACTGAGGTGTCTCCCCAAGCTGTGCTGCTTGGAGCTGGGAGGAGTCACTCAGCAGCTCTTCTTTCCTGCCTTCGCCAGTGTGTTTGTTCTGGTGCTATACTACAAGTCACAGTTGTCTCTCCCTTGGCTCTTTGCCTCTTGGGAAGGTGACTGGGAGTGAGAATGGCTGTTCAGACAGGTGTCTCAGGGCACTGGAGTGTCTTACTCAACCATTATCTTGCCCTGCCTCTGATAGGTCTGGTATGTAGGTTTTCCAATTTCATGTTTTTAGATCTGCCTTCTTTGGGTGTTTACTGCTTGGATCTCTAGTTTTCATTCTTAAATGTTACTATTTAGCTAACCAGCAATGCTGCTTTTTTCCTAGAAAGCACGGCCAGACAGTGTGTAGCGGCTCGGGCACTAACCCAACAGCAAGTCCGTGCTTTGCAAGACGGGGCAGAGCTCTATGAGGCGATGAAGAGCGCAGCAGACCCACGCGAGCTCGAGGTGAGAGCAGGAGGGCAGGCGTCCCCCTTCATCTTCATCTCCATCTTCATCTTCTGAGGTGGGAAACTGAACTGAACTGAATCTCTGGCCTTGAAGGGGATACAAACTTTTCTTGAGACCTCAATAATAATGTCAAACAGGTGGGACACATTTTTTATTCTTTACCAAGTGGAGAATAGAAAAGTTCCAAAATTGCATCTATTATGCTGATTTTTAGAAAGAACAGGTATTTTCAGAGCAGTGTCAGTTTCCATGTTCTGGTTCTTTCTCAGATACTGTGTAGTGTCAGTTTCATAATCCTCTCTCTTAAAGGCATAGGCAGAAATGTGTCCAGAGCACTCAGCTGTTAGAGATGGCATCATCAAGTCCAGCTGAGTGGTTTACAGTCAGTCTTCCACTTGCAGTGCCAGCGCTCCACTGGGGCACTTGTTCTAGACCTGGCTGCTCCACTTCCCTGGCCTGGGAAAGCAATGGAGGACAGCTCAGGTCCTTAGGACCCTGCACCTTCATGGGAGACCTAGAAGAAGCTCCCAGCTCTAGCTTATCATCTCTGCCTTTCACATAAAAAGAATATAAACTTTAGAATCATGGCTCTACCATTTGTTAGCAAAACAAATTGGGACTAAAATAGCTGTGAAATTTGCTGTTTTAGGGTTAAATTACATAATGTATATGCCATGTCAATAGAGCCAGCTAGTGGCTAAAGTCCTCACCTTGTACACCCAGGATCCCATGTGAGCGCCGGTTCATGTCCCGGCTGCTCTACATCCTTCTAGCTCCCTGCTTATGGCCTGGAAATGCAGTCAAGAACGGCCCAAAGCCTTGGGACCCAGTACCCATGCGGGAGATCCGGAAGAAGCTACTGGCTCCTGGCTTCTGATTGACTCAGCACCAACCATTGCAGCTACTTGGGGAGTGAACCAGCAGATGAAAGATCTTTGTCTCTGTTTCTCCTTCACTCTGTAAAATCTGACTTTCCAATAAAAATAAATAAATCTTTAACATATATATGTATGTATGTATAAAATGCCATGCCAACACTGTTCACTGCAGTTTGAATATACCTCTATGTATTAACATATGCCAGCTCCAGTGACTGGCACGGTTGGGCAGCAGGCTGATTTCCTTCCAATAACCCCATCATTCCATTTGGGCTCTGGTTCATGTCCGGGTGCTGCACTTCTTGTCCTAGCTGCTCCACTTCCTTTCCAATTTCCTGCTTACGGAACTGGCTGCTGGTTTCAGATTGTCTCAGCTCAGACCATTGCAGCCATTGCAGTTCATTTGGGGAATGAACCAACGGCGTAAAGATTTCTTCTCTGTCTCTTCTTCCCTCTGTAAATCTGCTTTTCACATAAATAAATGTTTAAAAAGAAAAAAAAAAGATAAACCACCTCCTAAACCATAAGAACACCTAAATTTTTTAAATAACTGATGCAGATTCTAAGGTTAGTCTGCTATACAGGGAGGGGGTGAAAATATTTTAGGAAAATTGCTGGTTGATTATTGATTAGTTTTATTTACTTGCTAGCTTGGTGGGTCTCATGAATGTAGCCTTAAGTTTCTTACGGAGTGGAATTACAAAATAAACAGTATTATGTAAACAGTTGAGCACTGCTGCTCTCAACAGAATTCTCTTACATTCTTAAGTTTCACAACTTGAATTCTGGTGAGAAGTGACACCAGTTTTAAAGCTAACACATGGTTGTTTCCCTGGAAAATTATTTGCTGTGTCTCCTATACCACTGCATGTATTGAAGTTTGTTCATTCTGTGAAGCAGCATGAAGATAGCTCTAATTTCATCTACAAAGTTTAGCAATATTTGTATTTTATGTGTAGACTGTCTTGATAACATCATTAATATAAGAAGAGAATAAGGGGGAAGATTAAGAGTTGAAGGACTAAATTCTGGATCTGGTTTTGCCTTATCTCTTTAAGTCCCATTTCCCATCTTTTGTCAAGGAGAAAAACCTAAAAGCAGGTCATCTTAAAAATTAATTAATAAATAAATAAAGCCAGGTCATCAATACACAACTCGTATGAGTTTGGAATTGCATAAAGTTGCCTGATTGCCAGGGAAGAAGAGCCATCGATATCTGAGCTAGCCATGTTTGGGTCAGGCATTGTATGCTGAGTGAAGCAGCTGCCATGAATCCTGCTTTGACGCCCTCTGTCTGCTTTCAGTATTGACGCCCTGGGAGGCAGGCAGTGGATTAAGTGCTTGAATCTCTGCCCCTCAGGAGCCCAGTCAGAGTTCTTGGCTCTCGGACTTGGCTTAACCCAGCTCTGGCTGTTAGGGGCATTTGGAAAGTAAGCTATTGGATGGAACATTGATTCATTCCCTCTCAGTTGAACTAATTTCTGAATGTTTAAAAAGGCTTGTAAAGGGCACAGACATTGTATGTTCTCCCTTAAAGTATGGCTTAGGATTAAAGTGTCAAAGGCAATAGCAATCTAGAAAGTTTTATGTGCATATTCTATTTCTGTTTGTTGTATTTGACTATTTATTCACTTGCATTTTAGTTTTATTGGCCAAGACTCCCAAGAGGTACAGGCAGCAGTTTGAAATGACTGGGAAACTGTAGAGGCAAAGACGGAAGTGCTAGAGCAGACATTTAACTGAGCAGTTAGGACATGCATTCCCTGATCCAAGTTCCTGGTTTCATTCCTGCCTCTTGACTCTTTACTTCTCCCAGTAAAAAGCTGGGCAGGTAGCAGGTGATGGCTCAGTTGATTAAGTTCCTACCACTTTGTGTGGACAGCCTAGATTGAGTGCCCAGCTTCAGCTCAGCCTGTTACTGGAGAGTTAATGCACAAGCCAGTGGAGAGGGGGTGGGGAAGGAGGGAGGAAGAGAGAGAGAGAGAGAGAGTGTGTGTGTGTGTGTGTGATGAATGAACAAGTTTAATTTTTTAGGATTTTTTTAATTTTTATTTGAAAGGCAGATTTTACAGAGAGGAGAATAGACAGACAGAAAAGATCTCTGATTCTCTGGTTCTCCCCAAATAGCTGCAACAGCCAGAGCTGAGCCCATCCAAAGCCAGGAGCCAGGAGCTTCTTCCAGATTTCCCACATGGACGCAGTGTTCCAGAGATTTAGGCCACTGTCCGCTGCTTTCCAAGGCCATAAGCATGGAGCTGGATGAGAAATCCCATATGGGGTGCCAGTGCCGCAAAGGTAGATTAGCATACTGAGCCACGACACCAGCCCCAATAGAAGTTACTAAAGAGTTGATAGAAGTGTTTATTCTACACAAGTGTTGTAAATTGTTTCTACTGTTCTAAAGAGTTAATGAAATTATACACCCAGGGCTGGGAATGAAGGTTCTTGAGCCAACCTCTGTATGGATTGGCAGGTAATTTTTTTCTATGTGCCTCAGTTTCATCATCTGTAACACAGAAGCAGTAATAGTATCTACCTCATAGGTTCACTCTGATGGTTAAGGAAATTAATCAAGATCCACTTCTCAAACAGGGCGTATTCATGTAAGCTGTTTATGATGTAGATGGTGATGATTATGATTATTAAAATAGATTGATAAATAGAAATTTATTTTGCTCTAGGGAAATTTGTCATGAGGTTAATAAGCAACTTGGAGTATCTGAGAATATTATGTAATTAACTGAATATATTATTCTGCATCCTTAAGATAAGCTAAATACTGTTGGATTTTATTTCCATCTCAAATGATCCAATTAGCATACTGGAATCTTGTTTTACTTTTTATTCTGATATCTTAAATGATCATAGAGTTATTTCAGTGAAGAGCAAATAAGAGCATTGAGTCATCACAGACAAATGTTAAATGATAAGAAACAAGCCCAGATCCAGTTGGAATTCAGAAAAGCTATGGAATCTGCTGGACAAGGGGAATGTGGCTTGTCAAGGGATGTTACAGCTGTGTGGAAATTGCGAATCATCACCTATGACAAAAAGGAAAAAAATTCAGGTCAGTATGTAGTCATTTCGTCAGTTTTAAGTTAGATAATCTTATTAATGAAACATAAAAATCAGGTTTAAAAAAAAGATATTACAGGTGCAAAATGGATGAGCAGTGCGCAAGGGGCCGGGGGCTGAGTGTGTGACTGACCTTTGGGGCCGGGGGCTTCCGGCTGTGGAGTATTTGCTTAGCGAGCATCCCTGGGCCAGAACCTCAAAACCCACGAGCTCTGAAATATGAGACGTTTTGGATTTTGTATTTTCAAATTAGACATGCTCACCTTGTAATGTCCTCCTTAGATTTTTATTGTTACCTATGTTCACTTTTAAACAAGAATTTTAACAATTCATTGTCATTGTGTCTTGTTCATTTTCCTCTTAACAGTTCTGCTGAGTATCTGGCGTCCATCCTCAGATTTATATTCCCTGTTAACAGAAGGAAAGAGATATAAAATCTATCATCTCACAGCATCAAAATCTAAAAGCAGATATGAAAAAGCTCACGTGCAGCTAGCAGCTACCAAAAACACTCAGTACCAAGAGCTCTCGGTATGGACCCTTCATTGCAGTGTTTCCGCTTTGATAATGCACATTAGTGTATGGAACCTGCACACGCTGAATGTTTGCTCCTGTCCTCTTAGGCTTCAGGTGAAGTCCTACTCCAGGTTTTCCAGCCGAGAGAGCTGCTTCACTTCAGCAGACTGTCAGACCCGGACTTTCAGCCTCCCTGCTCTGAGGTGGACCTGATAGGACTTGTCGTTTCTGTTGTGAAAAAAACAGGTAACACACAGTGTGTTTCATAGTCACTTTTTATTGGTTGTTTTGAAAACCATTGTTTTAAACTCTGGTTGAAGCAACCAACTGGCAGGTTTAGTGACTACTGACTTGGAATAGGCTGCTGTTATTGCCAGTGCTCACTGATAAACAGCTCTACATTATTCCATGGTAACAACTCAACTCTCCTTTCTGTACTTCTTAGAATTTACTGAATTGCAAAACTATTTTATGGCATATTATGGCATCCAGTGATTCACTCCCCAAGCAGCCACAATTGCCAGAACTGAACTGATCCAAAGCCAGGAATCAGGTGCCTCCTCCTGGTCTCCCACATTGGTGCAGGGTTCCAGGGCTTTGGGCCATCTTTGACTGCTTTCCCAGGCCACAAGCAGGGAGCTGGATAGGAAACAGGGCTGCCAGGAATAGAACTGGTGCCCATATGGGATCCTGGGCATGCAAGGCAAGGACGTTAGCCACTAGACACTGCGGCAGGCCCTGTAGATCTTTTCTTACCTTGGTTACGACGGTTTTCATCTTGGCCGTACTTGGGTGACTCCATTCATTGTATTGTTAGAAAGTGAGAAACATTTATGCCTCTAATCACTCAGAATTTATTGAGAGACTATTTTATGGTTGGCCTTAAGTTCTGGGTGCACAGCAAGTAGCAACCAACACTCCCCACACTCGTGGAGCCTACGTGGTGTGGGTGGGGGCAGGTGATCAAGAACACTAATAAAATTTGTCTTAGTGAGTGCTAAGAGGAGAGATTAAGTAGGGAAGGGAGAGCAGTGCTGGAGGAAAGGTTGTCATTGAGGTAGAAAGGGACCTCACTTGAGTGAGACAAGAAGCAATGGAGGGAATGAGGCCGAGTGAGACATCTGGGAAAGAATGTTCCAGATGATCATAAAGGATGCTGCGTGGTGCTGGTTAGCACGAGCAGAGGCTGAAGTTACACAGCCGGGGAGAGCGGCAGTGAAGGACCATTGATGCGGGAATCCTTGTCTGGGTTTTCACTTTTGCTCTGAGATTGCTAAGAAGCCAGAATGTTCCAAGTAGGTTTTCACAAGATCGCTGAGGCTGACACATTGAGACTAGGCCATAGTGGGTGTGAGGGTCCAGGGGAGAAAGCATTAGAGACTATTACAAGAAGTTAAGCAGGTGATCATGAACTAGATAGAAACAACAGAAATAGCAAGAAATGATAGGGTTCTGATTGTATTCTGAAAGTGGAGGAAAATTACAGGGATGATCTGAGCATCTAGCCATTACTGAAAGGGGAAGACTGGAAGGAAAGCGGGGCTGTGGGAAAGGTCAGGAGCTTGGTTTGGGACAATTTCCAGTGTTTGTCAGGCATCCCAGTAGAGATGGCTAGGTGGTTATTTAGGGAAACGTTCAGGGCAGAGGAAGTCATCGACCTATAGGTGACTGTCATTTCATAGACTGCGTGCGGTTAGGGGACAAGAGCAGAACATCCACACGAGGAGAGATCCAACGCCTGGTCCTAGGAGTTTGATGTTCCAAAGCAGGGGACATGTGAAGAAGCCAGTGAAAGAAGCAGAGGACTGCTCCGACATAGAGGGAGAGAAGCAGGAAGCCAAGGATGAAAGGAACTGCTTCGTGGTAGGGCTGGGAAACAGGCATGTGGCACAGCAGCTGAGTTGCTGCTAGGTGGGCCTACATTCCTGCAGTTCTTACAATTACAGAATCAGGATAGTAACATTCGTGCAGTGTTATGCATTTGGAGACATTGAAGTTATTTGAGTTAGAAGCTTTGTACACTTTTTATTTCTCTCTTCCAGGGTCCTAACCAGAATGCCATTTGCGTCCAGTCATTTCTTTCCATAGACTCCTACAATCTTCAGCAAGTTATAGTCTTCTCATATTTTTTCTTTTTCATGATTGTGACACTAATTCATGATTGTGGGTTAATGAAATATTTTTTGTAACATTTTGCTCACTTTGAGTTCCAGGAAGTGTTTGTATTGTGTTTTCGATTGCTCTGTCGTGGTTGGTTGCTGCTTTGTTTGGCAGCGTATGCAGAGAATGTGCAATATCAGTGTGGCTTGACACGCCCCCTTCCTCGCCTGTGCTCATCCCTTGACTCTGACTTAGGTCACCTATATTTCTTCTGTTTAAGTGAACTGAGCGGTGCATATTTTCTCATATCTCCTTTCTATAATGAAGAGCAGCATACTCTAGTGTTTCATTTGTGCTGTTTTTGTTGTTGTTATGATTAGTTGGTCGGTATTTTGCTTAACGCTTTGTCCAGGAAGTCAGTTTCATGGAGATTTCCCATAGTGTTCAGCGCAGCCACATGTACAGTGTTTATAAGGATGTGCTCTGCCTTAGCCTTCCACTCCTGTTGTGTGCACTGACATAAGTGCTTCCTGTATTTCATAGCTGTGAGTAGTCCCAGATGTTCCCAGATGTTCTCATGAACCTTGTGCGTGTGCGCTTTGCTACTGTCACAGGTCTGCATTGAGTGGAGAACTAGGCACAGGTTGCTGGGTAGAAAGGCAATGTGTGCAGCTGTGTGAAACCTGAGCAGGTGTTTTGCTGCAGGATTTACCGATCTGTCCTTGCACGGTATGAGCAGAGCTGCCTCCCTGTAGCCTTGGTTACAGAATGTCTTGGTGTTGAAGTGTTTGCATCAGAAGTAACAGGTCGTCTTGCTAATGCTGAACTTAATCTACCATTTTGATTTGTTTTTACCATTAGTGTCTGATAAAATAAGGCAGTGTATTAGAGGTTTCTTACAGTTTTAAACTTATCTAACACATATAATGGTGATTTTTTTTATCCTAGGTCGTGCTCCTTTGGTATATTTATCAGATGAATATCATAACTTATTGGCAATAAAGTTTTGGGTAGATATTAATGAAGATGTTATTAAACCGTGTGTATTAATTGCTGCAAGCAATCTCCAATGGCAACCAGAATCCAAACCAGGAATTCCTACTTTATTTGCTAGAGAAATGTCTGCATTTTCTGCCAGTCCAAAAGAGGCCCATTTTCAGGAGACATTCAACAAAATGAAAAATACTATTGAGGTAAAATTACTGCTATTGAGATGTGTGTATGTGGCATCTACGGAAGTTGGATAGTTGAAGCAATGGGTAACACAGTCTCGAAATGCACTCCTTGTCCACGGAGATACAGGAGCGTCACAGCTACCAGGGGGAAGAGTGTGGTTTGAAATGAAGTTAAGAGACCCTGTGAAAAGGATGTTCAGAGATGTGTAGACCATGTAGGCGAGCTGGAGATCACTAACCTTGGCTGACGGCCACTGAAGGCTTACTCTGTGTCAGGCTGCGTACGCCTGTCCCATCTGATTCAACAGTTCTATAAAAAACTGTTGTGTAGTGCTGCCTCCCACAAAAACTTTGGACTTCATGTACTCATAGCTAGAGATAAATGCACAAAGATGAGCATTTTCATTTGGTAGTTTAATGTTTGAAATGTGTGTTATTTAAAGTTTTCATAAGTAATATTTTTAGGGACCAGTATTTAGGCTGGTGGTTAAGGTACCCAAATCTAGTATCAGGGTGCCTAGTCCAACATTCCGGCCTCTGGCTCAAGTCCAGTTTCCTACAAAGGAAGGCCGGAAGCAGTGATGGTGCGAGTAGCTGGCCTCCTGCCCCGCCTTGGAGGTCAGGGCCGAGTGTCTGTCTCCTTCCTTCAGCAGAGCGAGGCAGCCAGCAGAAAAGCACCTACTCTCACGCGCTCTATCACCCAAATTAATTAACTTTTTTTTTAATTAAGCGTCTTTTGTAAAGATAATATTTGGGGGTGAACTCTGTGGCATATCAAGAAAATCCACCAGCTGCAACATGGGCATCTCATGTGGATACCAGTTCTTGTCCCACCTGTCCCGCTTCTGGTCCAGGTCCTGGTTAATTAGGCCTGGAATGAAGCCCCTGGAGTTAGCTGGCCATTGTGGCCCTCTTGGGAGTGAACCAGCAAATGAAAGGCTTTGCTCTGGCCCTCTCTTTATATAGTTATAGGATCCTGGCACTTTGCACAGGGAGGATTAACCAACTTGATCATTGCACTGGGCCCCATTATGCCGAATTTGGCAAAGCCATTTGAAATTGCTGCTATTTGACCAGTTGTGACTTCTCAAATAAGAGTTTCATGCCATTTAAACTGCATACTGTTCCATTTAATTCTTGGGACACACATGAGACAGCTGAAGTGATTCTGTAGTTCTACTGACCTCAGGAAGATTTTTACAGATGTCACAGCTTTTGGAGGAGCTCTGGGCTTCTGACTCCTGATCTTGAGTCAACCAAACGCCTAGCAGGATCTTGCACCCAGCTGTTTCCCTCCCTGCCCTCCTACCAGTCTGCCCTGCTCCCCTCCCAACATCTAGTTCCCACAAATCACTAGTCGGCTGGCATCAGCATGTCTGACAGCTGCTGCCAAAATTATGAGTGTCTCATTTTGATTTCTGGTTTTAAAGGCAATGTTTTCTGAAAACGTGCAGGTTTGCAGATTGTAAGAGAGTTTTTTTTCAATGTGTTTTCTTAGAATATTGATATATTTTGCACTGAGGCAGAAGAGAAGCTTGTGCATATACTTAGTGCAAATGACCCCAAGTGTTCTACGCCAGCTAAAGAGCCATCCGCTGCTCAGACGGTCCTCAGTGCCGGAAGTAAGCCTGTGGTAAGTTACCATGGGTAATGTTATTCTAAGCGCTCTGGTAGCTATCCTGTGGAAGCAACAGTGTTTTCTGGCAAATACTTAGTAAACAACGTAAAATGTATTCAAACTTACTTAGAAACTAGGTGCCTGTTACCAGGTCCCATAGGCGTAGCTTACTTAGGAATTATTGCAATAAGAATGTGTAACTCTGGGGGTAGCTGCATAAATAGGCACCTGTATTTCAGCATACCAAATACATGTGAGTGGAAAGCCTCTTAATTTTTTCTGGAACCATCCCTTGCAATTTGTTCTTTCCAAGGTCAATTTAACTAATTAAATCACAGATGATACAGGTCAGTGGAAGACTGTTAGGTGGGCTACACAACTAAGTGTATCTACTCATGCACCCGTCGCAGCAGTCCGACGAGATAAGGCTCTCACACCCGTTTTACCCATGCGGAGAAGGCAAGCTGTTGCCTAAGCACGGGAAGCTAGAAGAGTGTTAGCACCTAGGCAACGTGTTCTTAAAATATGACTCCCTTTTTAACCTGTTAGTAATGGAAATATGAAGCATAGTGGCTTCTTTTTTGTCTTTTACTGTAATTACCCTTCATCATCCTTTCTTTTCATTGCTTCTATGTATTTGTTTATTTAGGTTTTAGGTTTCTTTATTTAGGGACAAGTGATGTGGCATAACTGGCTAAGCCTGTGACACGAGCATCCTTGATAGGCACCAGTTCATGTCCTGGCTGCTCTGCTTCCAGTCCACATCCCCACTGAGGTCCCTGGGAACGCAGGAGACCCAGGTGACGCTCCTGCCTTGGCCTGGCCCGGCCTCTGCAGCCGCCTGGGACGGGAACCAGTAGATGGAAGATTTGCCTCTCCCTCTGCCTTTCAGCTAAATCTTTTGAAGTTTTACTTATTTACTTGAAAGGCGGGATGACAAAGAGGGAGAGAAACAGAAAAGAATAGAGAGATGGCTTTGGTCTGCCGATTGACCCCCAGATGCATGCATCAGCCATGTTAGGAGAAACCAAAGCCAGGGGTTCTGTCCAGGTCTCGGGGTGCACATAACAAGACTTTAGATGCTTAAGCCGTTGCCTGCCACATCCCAAGCACACTGGCAAGACGCCAGATCTGAAGTGTGGTGTAGCCAGGACTCTAGCCAGGAACCCCCTTATGGAATGCTGATATCCCAAGAGGTAGCATAGTGTGCTGTGCCATGACGCCCAGCCTTTTGTGTCATTTTTTTATATTCTGTTATGCAAAATTATTTCCTTCTAAGATAGGAATATATAATTGGTTCTTGAAATCGTCTACCCTGTTAGCAAATAAAGTGTTTATGATGCATGTGTGCCTAATGAAAAGTTTTGTTTTGTTTTAGATATTAGCACTTCATTATGATGGGAATTTTAACTTTTTTTTTTAGATGCCTTCTGTTAGTGAAATAATTTATCAGAGTCCTTTGTCACTCTGTACGCCAAAAGGGAAGTCAGTTGCCACACCTGTGCCTGCCCAAGTGACTTCAAAATCTTTCTGTAAAGGGGAAAAGGAGGCTGAAGACCCAAAAACCTGCAGAAGAAGAAGAGCCTTGGATTTCCTGAGCAGACTGCCTCCACCTCCGCCGGTTAGCCCCCTGTGTGCGTTTGTCTCACCAGCCGCACAGAAGGCGTTCCAGCCCCCGCGCAGATGTGGCTCGGGGCCCGAGGCACCTGCGCCGCGCAGGGAGCCCGGTTCTCCCCAGGTGACTCCGCTGCAGAAATTCAGGGCCATTTCCCCTTTGGACAGCGATTCAATAGCTGATGAAGAACTTGCCCTGATAAACACCCAAGCCCTGAGGTCCGCTGCAGCAGAACACCAGCCTGGCAATGACCCCAGCAGGACTGACACCGCCCTTGCAAAAGATTCTCCAGCCCCAAACAGGCACTCTGCTGCAGCTCTGAGCAAAGCACAGGAGCTCCGCCAGGCCGCCAGAGAAGAAAGTGAGACTGTCCGGAAGGACACAAGCATGAGAAAAAATACATCCAGAAGATTACAAAGGCGGCAGAACCTCAACGATTGTCAAGGTGACCAAGACCAAAATGACAGTAAACCACCTACTGATTCTTAACCCCGCCCTCCTGTAAGACAAACAGTCGCACACTGCACATCTTTGCCCAACAGGATTTGCAGTCTCAAATTTACCTGGATTTTTTATATATAAGGATGCTCCCAACCAATTATTATTGGTATACTTTTACTTCTGTTGTATGCCTTAAAACTGTGTATTTATTAACTAATCAAGAAGAAAAATCTTTAAATAATTATGGTGATCACTGTAAATATTATTTTGCAAGTTAAATAAACATATTCTTTTAAATTGTGCTCACTGATTAAGGGCGTCTCTGTGTAGGCGTTTGGCCTCCGATGGTCCCTCCTGGTTCCTGCCTTGCAGAGGAGTCACTGCTGTCCCTCGCGCGTCTGCAGGAAGCATGGGACAGCGCTAGTGTCGTCCTGTAACTAGTTCATCCTCAAGTCAGCGTGAGCAACAGAGCATCGGGCCAATTCCCTTTGATGATTCCAGCCTGTGAGCTCTGAAATTTTTTCAGTTAAAAATTCAACATGCTAAATCAGAGGAGGTTTCATAGAGATGCTTGCTACCAAATTGGCACTAAGACAGGCCTCAGCGCTGCTGTCTTTGAAACCTCCCCCCAAGGACACATGCAAATGAATCTCTGGGTATCTACTTTCTCGTGCTTTCTAAAGAAAGGGATAAGCCAGTTCTAACTAGGAGGTAGTAGCATGAAAAATCACTTGTTCCGGCCTGGCACAGTGGCCTAGCAGCTAAAGTCCTCGTCTTGAACGTGCCCCCGGGATCCCATATGGGCGCCGGTTCTAATCCCGGCAGCTCCACTTCCCATCCAGCTCCCTGCTTGTGGCCTGGGAAAGCAGTCGAGGACGGCCCAAAGCCTTGAGCCTGCAAACATGTGGGAGACCTGGAAGAGGCTCCTGGCTTCGGATTGGCACAGTAATGGCGGTTGTGCTCACTTGGGGAGTGAATTATCGGACAGAAGATCTTCCTCTCTGTCTCTCCTCTCTGTATATCTGACTTTGCAATAAAAATAAATCTTAAAAAAAAAAAGAAAAAGAAAAATCACTTAATTCACCAAAAAAAAATTGTTATTTAGATTTTATTGGAAACGTAGGTTGACAGAGAGGAGGAGAAACAGAGAAAGATTTTCGATCTGCTGATTCACTCCCCAAGTGGCCACAATGGCCAGAGCTGAGCTGATTCTGAAGCCAGGAGCCCGGAGACTTTTCCTGGTCTCCCACATGAGTGCAGGGTCCCAAAGCTTTGGGCCGTCCTTGACTGCTTTCCCAGGCCACAAGCAGGGAGCTGGAAGGGAAGCGGGGCCGCCGGGATTAGAACCAGCGCCCATATGGGATCCCGAGCGTGCAAGGCGAGGACCTTAACCACTGCGCCATCGCACCGGACCTGTAGGCCTTCTATTTTTTAAGACTAGAAAATAACCTTGTTATAGAAAAGCTGGTTGTATGTTTGAATTTCTTGGGATTTAGGTCATTAATTTTTTTATTGAACAAAATGTTGACAAATCCATATAAATGCAATTTACCATAAACAATTTTTAATAACCATAAAAGCACCATTTGATAGGACACGAAATACTTCACAAAACATTAGAAAAATCTGTTGGCCACCAGAATGTAAAGCATACACTTTACATGGGCTTGCCCATCATGGACTGACATCAAATTAATCTGAATGCAATCTGAATTGGAATTTGCATTCATTATTTCAGTATCATGTAAGAAACATTCCAGAGTATTCCAGAGCTGTAGTCGAACTTTACTGTCTTAATGCTGTGTCAAACATCAAGACTGCTCTTCTGAAAATGAGGATATTCCATAGGGCTCTACCTGGGGCTTGTTCATTCCTTACGCTCCTCCAAACAGTTGAGCTGCCGACTAATGACACAGATGCTCAAAGGTGTAAATTTAGCAATCAATTACTCCTCTTAAAAAACTGGTGTATTACAAAGGCAGGCCTACTTTATGTACGCTGTTAGCACAACAACCAAAAGATTCAGGTTGAATCCGGTTAAATAAAGTGGTAGTTGAAACACAAAAGTGTGACATTCAATCACAACACCAATTTTCATCAGCTGTTAATAGAGCATGAAGGATTTGACAAATGTTTCCAGTGATGATACATCGTAAAAACCAAGGAATAACTTTCCAAGCCGCCTCCTCTGAGGACACACTCCCTAGCTGGATACCTGCCACGTGTTAGAGAAAATCAGTACCATTAGTCACACATCTCACATTTGTGGATACACAGGTTATTCAAGTAGCAAAGGGCATGAAAACTTCTGCCTTTCTTGCTTTTCCAACTTTCCTAATGGAGATGAGTTTTCTGAAAAAATAAATCACTTCAGAGAAAGTGGTACTGAAGCATATATTTAATATAAACACTTTATGTATGAATCTAAGTAACTAATTGACTATGTCCTGGGAGTGGGGGAAGGAGGTCGTTTCTCAAGTTGCACTTTCAAATCAATTCCTCGCCCCGGAGGACACCTGGAGTAAGGTGTAGTCTCCAGTCTGCAGACGGGGACCCTCCGCCGGGGCTTGCCGAAGACCAGCACGACGGTCTCTGCTCACAGACCTGGTCGCAACTATTTACACAGGCATCAGAGCTCTGACTACAACGCAACGCAGAATAAATAGTAAAAGTTGAAGTAAAAACCCATTTAGGAAATTTGCGGATGGCTGTCAGGCGGGCCCTTAATATCCATGGTGACAACGGCCCCTCCGGCTGAAGGAGGTGGGGTGTGTGAAGGCGCCGGGTGCCCTCCGGGCCGGGAGGTGGGCATAGGAGTTCCAGCAGCTGGTGGAAGGCGACGCGCTGCCCGCGTCCTGGGCTCTGTTCATCCGCCTTGGCTTTTCGGCGTGCAGCACGCTGTGAAAGGTCACGTTGTGTTCATACCGTTCTTTCATTCGGTGTATTTTTTCCCTCGGGACCCCATGAATGTTTCTTCTACAGAAAAGAAGGCAAACGTTTAGTTAGGGCATCGGAAGCAGTGACTTGTATTTTACAAGCCCTGGATCACTGCACACACGCCAGGCACACTCAGGTCTCAAGGCTCAGCTCTGGCAAAAGCGAACGGGTTTGTTCGCGGCTATCTTTCCGGCTGCACCCCAATTTTCAACCTGCACCGCACCCCACCTGCCAAGAGCTGAAGCTTCCTTGCTGGTAATTTCAGTTACGTGCTTCAAGACAAAGAAAAGAGATGTCGATTTTCTCCCTTCCCCCCTCCTTTTATTCATATATTTCATTGCTAATAACATGCAAAGAGGTTTCAAAGAATTTGTGGAAAATGTGCTTGTCTGTTCATTTCCCATGAATTTTTAAGGCTCCCTCATAGCATCAGTTTACAGCAGTCGGTCCCTGATAGTGCTACAAGCTGCTAAATAATACAATCAGCTGGGGATATAGTCAGAATGTCATATGCCAGAGAGTCCCCTTCAGAATGGGGCACAGAAACCAGGGCTGAATCATCAGCTTGACTGGGCCTAAAGGGCGTGGTCCGCAACCCACTCGGGAAACACTGTGAACTAACTGCAATCCTAAAAAGTACCTCCTTATCCCCGCTCACCGTTAGGTCACGGACATCACACAACACAGAGTGAGTAGCAGAACCCATGCATTCCATCGACAAGTTAGTAGGTTTGGACACGAATGCTCTGTGGTTTACAAGCAGCATTTAACCCACACAGGATCTGCACAGACTGCCCGGCATCCAAAGGCCTTTACTCAGCTGCAGGACCGTCGCTGGCGTGTGCCACCCATGCAGCGGAAGGTTCTTTGAAATGCTCATCCATTAAGCATTTTAGCAGAATGTTAAACGTGTCCTTTGTAAGGGACCAAGTCAAGCCAAGATTGAGCACTTAGCAGTAGATTAGAAAACGGACCCAAAACTAAACTCTTCACAAGAATCAGTTCAAAGTTATCAATTTCCAAGAATTACCATTTCTGGCCTGAAAACTACCAGTCCATTTCCAGCCTGAAAAGATTCTTTTGTTCGGTCTGAAATACCTGAAAACAGCAGGATACACAATGAGCAACTAGAAAAGCAAAGAAGTACCTGGCTAACTCTTGAACGTTGAATTTCCAGCGAGTGTCAGGTTCTCGGAATATAACTTCATAGTTATTTTCAAGTGCCTGATTTTTCAAAAGTACATAAAACATTGAAGACAATAGTATGTATGCTTGGGAATGGTTATGCTGCCATTTAACATTTGCTACAAATCTTTTCTAAAATTCCTTTCGCTTCACCAGTTTGGCTCAGTGCACTGGGCTATTTTTCCTTGAGTGTAGAAAACTATTAACAGCTTTTGTATAAACACCAAAATATTCTTTGCACTCACAGATTACTCAAACTGAATATCTCCAACTGCACTTTCTATTATCGTTGTTTATTGTACAATCATGTAAAATTAAATTTCATTCTGGATGGGCATTTCTTATTAGCAAATGCTTCAAACATCACAACTAGAAACCATAATTTCTGCATTCAATGAATAGCTACAGGCAGCAGCTGGAAAACAAATTGTACACACACGAAACATATCACAGTGAAATAATTTCCCTTCCACCACTCTCAGTTCATTTCTATCCTGGGCTTGGAGTCTGAATTCACTCAGTGCCTCACGCCTATGTCCATTTCTCAGCCAAGGGCAGGTTCAGTTGCGACCTGAAGCAAGCAACAAAGCTGAGGCCCGCTCTGGCCGAGGTGTACCTGTGTCCCACCATCTGGGCCGAGGTAGAACTGTTCAAGACACGCACAAGCGTGGCCATGCTGCTCTGCACCAGGTCCGAGTAGGCGGCCATGAGGCTGGCTGGCAGCTACTCCCTCCACCATCACAAGTGGAGCTCATGTGTGGCACAGTGGACTGCTCAGATGTCTGCTTCCTGCCCTGCCTTGCATGTTTCTGGAGCTCTTCCATTTTCAGGAATAAAAACTCACAGAGTGAGACAAAGCATGTCTGCAAACGGCCCCCAGTGCAGTGCTGACCTGCACGGGTGCTCACACTTCCTGTCTTACGAGGGTTACAGTGTTAATACTAAATCTGTTTTCAAACTAAAATTTCTGTTCTCCTTGGCCTCTCATGCAGCCTGAGTGCTGAAGTCCCCGGCATGCCGCAGACAGAAGTGCCCTGCTGTAACCTGAGACTGCTGCCCGTGTTTTTGGGTTGAGTGGGGGGGGGTCTCCTCCGTATGCCTTCCCACCCCTCAGGAAAGATGACCAAGACAGAAAGGCTGGCGAGCACACAGACCATTTCCCAAGGACTATGGAAACCCTGCACCCCAGGGTGACATCAGCGTCTCCACAGATGACAACCACCGCCCAGAGAGGCATTCCCAATGAACCTCTTCACCTGCTCCCTGGGACAACTGCTGTCCGCCAACAGGAACTCACAGAAGATCAGAACAAGAGAGCACACAGGTTTCAATGTTCTCACAAAAAAATGCCCAGAACTGAAAATTCAGAATGATACTTCTTCCTACCATGACTGCATAGGGCTTCATTTCCCAGGCGTGGAGGTTGGTATTATCAATTATAATGGGGGATATGCCATTCCTCATTGCTTTTCTTGCTGCAACACAATGTTATACAACAGTGAACAACACGCAACAATCAGAGAGAAGGCTGAGCGTCATCCATATTTGTCATGTTTCTTACAGGATATCCTCATTACACACAACTTCACTGCCACCTATTTCAGAACCCAGTAATTTTCTTTTTCTCCTGGAAGCTAAGGAGTTTCTGTTTCTGCATTCTGATGGGGAGTGGGAAGGGAGACGGCAGGACTGGCGATTAAGCTCCTTGCATACAATTTATTCATTCTGCAGCAACTACAAATCTGTGTGCACCAGAGGGTTTCCCAGGAGTTTGGAAAGGAATTCATCACCTCTTTTCTGGTTCCATTCATGAGCTTCCTCCAGGAAGTCAGGATTGAACTCATAGGCACCATCTTCCCTGAAGAAAAAATCATCCGTGCTGAAAATCAGGGCCCTGGGGAAGTCATGCTGCAATTTTCTAGAAAGTGGACAAATGAAAGAGGTTGTTTTTATTATACGCATAGTTACAGTAGAAATTTTTGCCTTCCATCCAACATTCAGCACTGTACCACTCAGAGATCACCGGGTTTTGAGTCGTAAAAAAAGAGACAGAGAGAGAGAGAGAGATGCTTTCTGTGATGTACAGGCGGCATTACTCCTTGATGGTAAGAGCGTAGAGAGGTAGCTACAGAGTGCCAACCTTGCCAGCTTTGCCATGCAGCCTGCAGCAACCAGCGCCGACTCAAGATGAAACTCCTAAGCTGAGTTGAGGATGTGGTGACTTTCCTTCTAGACACCAGTCCCCATGACCATGCGAGGCACCGTGCCCTCCCAAGGCCTGCCCTGGACTGCCATAACAAGCTCAGCCCTTGCCATGATTCCACTACACTCTTACCTGTCCTGGGTCCCACATCCTTGGAGCTCTGCTCTGTGGAAGGACCCATCTCAGAAACTAGCTCTTGTTGAGGTATGAAACGTGAATGAAGGGGAAGTGTGAGTGCTACCCTATCGGGCAGCATATTTACATTTGCACGGTGATTTAAACCAAAGAGGGGTGGGGTAGTACAACAGGGGAGTGAAACGGGTGGGCCCAACATTCCCATGCCTTCTTAACCTCTACCATTCTGTATCTAAATGGGACAATACCACAGAAAGAAGGGGAAAAAATCAGGTAGTGCCCCTTTTAAAACCAAACAAACCAAAAAAATAGCACACTAAGGTTCTGTATAAGATAGCTGGAAGGAAAAATCTTTCCACTTGGACTCCTTACTTGGACTACTTTTTCGGCAGCAGGTGGAGATAGGCTAAGGAGTAGCGGCTCATCTGTGTGAGATGTGAAAAGAATCCACCTATCCTTCAGGTGGCATCAGGGAGCCCAGAGCAAAACACCCAGCACAGCACATGGCACAGCACCCAACTTTCCCCTTTTCCCTATGGCATTCACCTGCATATCCAACATCAAAACCAATTCAAAGAGATGAAACAGAGGCAAACTGCATATAGAAATTATGCCCACATAGCCACCCTGAGGATAAGAAGATGTTAAGAAATTGAGGGGAATAAAAGGTTGGAGAATGATGACCAGGGCAGAAATGCAAAGAGAAAACACATGTGTGTTCAACCCATTTTTCACTATTGTCTCCATCAGGATGGAGAGCAGTTACTGAGTGGCTTCTGAGGGACTTGGCTTCAGTTTTTGAACTCTCCCACTACCCAGTTTTGAGGTAAGATTCTTGCTTTCTACATTTTAAAACACAGCAATAATCTCCACATGCTCAACAGCACCACTGGCTAAGGCTGTAAAGTGCCTTTACCGATGTAAAATTCCAGTTTTTGTTAATAAATGATAACAATGAGGCCCAGTTTATCAATCCAGACTCTTTATCTGCCATAATAATAAAATACTTTGCAAGTGTATATAAAATCATCTTTCTGATGATGCAGTGAGAGACGGAAGAAAGCTAAAGCAAATGCCTCCATTTCCAAACATGCATTTCACAACTCGCAAACCAAGCAGCTCTGTCAAACTCTTCAGAAGGCTTAAGTTTTACTCCTTTTTAAATGATGTTTTTGTTTTGATTTGTTATTTTTTAATTGGAAAGGCAGATGTACAGAGCACAGAAAGAGAGATCTGCTGGTTGACCAACTTCTCAAATGGTCACAATGGCCAGAGCTGAGCCCATTCAAAGCCAGGAGCCAGGAGTCTTTTCTGGGCCTCCCATGCGGTGCAGGGTCTTAAGGCTCTAGGCCATCCTCCACTGCCTTCCCAGGCCACAGGCAGGGAGCTGGATGGGAAATGGAGCAGCCAGGACTTGAACCAGTCCCCACATGAAATCCCAGAGTTTGCAGGTGGAGGATCACCCGTTGAACCGTTGCACAGCCCCAGATAACATTTTTCTTAAAGGAAACATAAATAGCTGAAAAAAAATCATACTAAATATGTTTTTTAATAGGCTGTGGTGGTAAACAAAAAATATTCGATGCCCATAACATCTTGATTTAAACACGAATTCAGTAGTGCCTCTTGATAGCCTTAGAGGCAAACATGGCCAAAATATATGTTAATATTTGTTCATTATTCAACCCATTAAGCATTTGCTGCTTTCAAGAATCCACAGCCTTGGGGCCCCCAGCATGGTGAAGTAAAGCCTCAGCCTGTGGCTCCAGCACCCCACATGGCTGCCAGTTCATGTCTCGGCTGCTCCGCCTCCCATCCAGCTCCCTGCTCACAGCTTTGGAAAGCAGTAGAGGATGGCTCAAGCCCTCAGGCCCCTCTACCCACACGGGAGATGCTGGGGTCCGTGTGATGGATGTGGAAGACAGGAAGGTGTGAAGAGAATCGTTCTATTGCAGGCAAGGCCGCAAGGAACTTCCCGCTGTGTGGCAAGGCCCGGCAGATGTCTCTACAACACCTGAATGCAGCTCCGCCTCCCTTTGCATGGACACCGGACAACCCCATTGAGATTTCTGTAATCTATTTAGGCGTTGTCTGCCTCTGCGGAGTTACTGCTAAATATCAGCAGGGGCTTAGAAGCTGATGTTGCTGTTACTGTTTTCAGCCAAAAAGCTGTTATTGCTGTTATGGCTGCATCCTGTGGCAATATGCTAATCAAGGGTGCTAACTCCCCTTTTGATCCTATGCTAATCAAGGGTGTTCTGTCTTCAGGTGTAGTGGAATCTATTCTTTCCCTCTTTCTTTGATCTTTTAGGTCCCTCCTGTGAAGCCCTTCCTTCCTTGACTGTCTCAAGACCAAGCTGTAGAGTAATTGTGGTAGGAATGTGTTAGTGATTGATATGCACCATCTATTGAGAACTTTTTCCTAGCCAGGCACCAGGTGCCAGGCACCAGGTGAATAACATCCTAGCCTTAAGTGAAACAAATGGCAGAGTTATCTTTAGAAACACCCACTTGACCATGATGTAAAAAGTCTGAGCCAGAGTTTGACTGATTCTGTATAAATAAAGCGGACAGCTTTCCCGCATAGTCCATTATGATGATGAAGTCCTAGTGGTCCGTCTCTTTCTTTCTTTGAGCCTCATCCACGCACCCTTCGCGAGTTCCGAACTCAGCTGGAGCTGGACTCCGGCAGGGAGACCCTGAAGAAGCTCCTGGCTTCAGGTCAGCTCAGCTCTGGCTGTTGCGGGCATTTGAAGAATGAACCAGCAGATGGAAGATCTCTAACTCTCCTTTCTATCTAAATCTTACTAACAAAAATTAAAATAAATCTTAAAAAAAAAGATTTCACAGTCTAAGGAGTCAGACCTCTCCTCTGGTTGGCGTAGCCCAGGGAGCACTGTGGGAACTCAGGGTCAGGACACCAGATCCCTCAGAGAAAGCTTTGGTCAAATAAACAACATCTGACTTAGACCTTGAGGAATGAAAAAATGGTGCCTTCCAGGAGTGCAGTGGGGGCTGCAGTTTAGGAGGTAAGAGAAAGAATCAGGTCCAACTTGGCTTCCTATGAGCCAGGGACTGCAGGGTGGAGTAAAGACACAAGTGTTCCCTGGGGCAAGTCCTTACCGGAAGCACCCGGGCATGCTGAGTGCCACAGATTTCAAGCGGCATTTGGCAGGCTGGGATACATATGGAGAGGAGTGACCAGATTTGAAACCCAAGGTCTGCATACCACGATGTCAGAGGCCAAAGGTCACTGAAGGCAAGCAGGGATGTCTAAGGTGGGGAGAGATAGTAAGAGACACTGCAGGGTCACCCTGGGGCACCCGGAAGTCAGCCATGCAGGAGAGGGCTAGAGCTCACGGTGCAGGTCACAGGTCAGAGCGGCCCAGCCTGGCAGCTCTGCTGGGCTGGGCTGGAGTCACCCTGGTTGGCAGGAGCTGCAGGCAGCCCTCACTCACACACTCCAGGATGCCAGCCGCTGCTGGCCATCACTCCACGAGGTGCCTTCCACTCAAGGAAGCTAACCCATACTTCCTCACAGAACTTCAAGCGATCAGGAGTGGAAACTGCTAGGCTTCTATAACATTCTGTTGGTCAAAAAATAAAATAAAAAGCAAGTTCCTTCGCTGGCTGGCTGGTAAAGTGCTTCAACTTCTTGACGGAAGAAGGCTCAAAGAAAATGTGGCCACTTGAAATCCATCAGAGTTACAGGAAGTAACATGAAAGAAGGGAGAATTATAAAGAGAACAGGATGAAACCAAGGCTCACGGTGTCCATGTTGGAATCCATGATTCGACTTAAAGATATTACAACAGAAAAGTCCAAGTTCTAATTCCAAACGCTTAACTGCCACTTAAACAAATATTCTAAAGGTATCTTGGGAAAACTCTTCAGGATAATATTGTATGTATTTTCATGTATATTTTATGTTGATGAATGCTGTGCAGTTTTTAAACTATTTCCATTGATATTATTCAGTGCAGATCATAAAATTTACGTTCAGAGCATTTGTAACAGGGTAAAATGTATTTACCTTATATTTTATGTACTAAGTTAATAGCAATGGAAACTGCTGCTAAGATGTTCTTATCTCTTTATTTCTTGGTTCCCGATTTGATATTTATTCTAAATCTGTTTCCATTTGCCTTCCTATTAGGTCTAGCACTTCTAGCTTCCGTTTTGTTTTAAAAATCTTTTGTGCAGTTAATTTTATTTTCATTTTCCTATCCTTATCTACTCTCATATCTACTTTATGGTTATATTCTTGGTTAGATTGGTTATATTTCCCTTGAAAAGGCTTTCAGGTGTAAGTGTCCAATTCACAGGATTTTTTTTTTCTTTCTAGAAAATAGAAACAAACAACTGCCCTTTTCAATTGAAAAAGTTCATTTTTAGAGTCAAAGAAAGATTGTTCAAGGCCAGCATTTGTGAGCCCAGCTCTCATCGCTTGCTACGCCTTATCCACCCGTGGGCTCCAGAGCCCTCCCAGCAAACGGCAAAAACACCAGTGCCTGGTCTTTCCAATCTTAACGGACTGGTTTTTTTATCTGATTTTCCTGAATGAACGTTCTTTCAAAAAT